AAAATATCGGATTCTGGATATTCTTAGAGCAAATAATTCTAGAAACATTTTGAGACCAAAATGATCCCGGCAATTGATTGCTTTAATGTACTTTACTCTTGTACGCGACCCAGCACAGCCACACTGTGAATCGAATTTTTAGACGTAAACGATGAGTAAAATATCGGATTCTGGATATTCTTAGAGCAAATAATTCTAGAAACATTTTGAGACCAAAATGATCCCGGCAATTGATTGCTTTAATGTACTTTACTCTTGTACGCGACCCAGCACAGCCACACTGTGAATCGAATTTTTAGACGTAAACGATGAGTAAAATATCGGATTCTGGATATTCTTAGAGCAAATAATTCTAGAAACATTTTGAGACCAAAATGATCCCGTCAATTAATTGCTTTAATGTACTTTACTCTTGTACGCGAACCAGCACAACTACACTGTGGGTCGAATTTTTCGACATAAACGTTGAATAAAAAAATAAGCTAAATATTATTTATCAAAATGGTAGAATTAATGTGCATGGCGATCGAAAACAATAATGAAATTCTAAAGGTTTTCAAATTTCAGGGAAATTTTGTATTAGTAGGAATTAGAGGAGTTATTGATTTCAAAACAAGTTTCAAAGAAACATTATTCATAATATTTAAAAAGAACATAATGGATCATCGCGCGCGTAGCGCGCGCAAGGAATGTGCTAGTTGTATAAAAAAAAAATAGATTTGTTTTAATGACTTTTTATATCTTTTTATTTTTATTTTGCAGATGGTGCGTATGCAACAAAATTTCACCATGCAGTATTATATTCCCCCTTTAGAAGCTTCCAGTAACACATCGATCAAGTTTGAAGTAGTGCCGATCGTCAACGACACTTTATTAAAAGTAATTAATAAATTAAAAGCAACGTTTTTCATTTTAAAGCCCATCAGATATAAAAATTTATTTAAAAAATTTAATCATAATTTTACTTATCGAGCAATGTACATGAGAAATATGAAAGATTATAGAAATACGAAAGATTATAAACTTTAAGTTTTCTTTCCCTTCTCGCGATACCTAAAACGCAACACGAATGTTAAATTGGAAAACGTCAATATTTCTTATGTTGCTTACTTAAAACAGCTTTACGACAGTTGTGAATCCTGGAAGAATAGAGGTATAGACAAGGAAGTGAAAGCGTTTATTAACGGCCCGGAAATGGCAAAAGTCATAGCGGATGTCAATCAGCGTTTGGGTTTCCTAAACATCAGTAAAGGTGAATTTCATAATTTTTAATGTACTAAACTACAAAAATATACTTAACAGGAGACTTGAGTACGTGTGATTTTTTTCAAGTCGCTACGAATTTGCGTTTAGTCTGGCAGCTAAATAGTAAATATATAAATAATAATTTTTTTGTTATCAATAATATCATCCCTGACAGATTATTATAAACTTTACATATTTTTGTAACATCTGAAATGTGTGACTTGCTTGTAATAGTTTTTGTAATACGTTTTTTTTTATAAATTTTTAATTTTTGATTTTTGAGGCCCCCCAGGATCCTATTTGGTCCTGACTGCCGCGTTCTAGCTGCTAAGTCTGGCTTCAGCTTCTAGTTGGCAATTATTAATAATAAATTTCTATGTAATATAATATAATTTCAGATGATATCTTTCTATTTTACGACGCGTGTCGCTTCGAGAGAACTTTGTACTTGGACAAACCGTCGCCTTGGTGCGATGTGTTCACCGACGACGAGATGCAAGTCCTTGAGTACGAGGAAGATCTATTTTATTACTACAACAGTGGTCCGGGGGACAAAATTAACAGTCAGCTAGGATGTTACCTCATCCGGGACATAGTCGATCATTTCACGTAAGCGAACTTCTCAAGCAACACAATTCTCCAAGAGATATCTTAAGGATGTTCAGTGGAGGTTCAGTCGTGCATTGAAAGAAGATTAGCTGCTGTGCAGTCATTTAGATGGTAAAATATGGCATAGCATTTTTAATTGGCTGAAGTAGCTAATTTTTTATCGTAGCAGCCAATTTTTGGTTATGTTAATCTATACGCAATATCAGTATAGAATTTTGATAGACTAACGCAACCAAAAATTGCAACCAATTAAAAATGGTATGCTATATGATTTAGCCAATCTTTTCTTTCAATGTGAACATCCTATAAATGTCCCCAAAACATCACTCGAAGAACTGTGTTGTGTGGTTCCTTCGAAAGATCTGAGTTTTCTTTTTAGTATTGTTTTTTTTAAATTAAAATCCTGCAGGAAATTGGAGACGAATGGCGACGAGCCGAAAGGTGTATTCTACTTTACGCACTCGCAAATGATGGTGTTGTTCCTTACTGCAATGGGAATTGCCCAAAATCCTATGCCGCTCACAGCCACAAACTTCCGAGACATGAATCATAGAAAGTGGAGGATTTCCCAGTTAATACCGTTTGCCGCGAATTTTGCGGCGATCTTCCACAGGTAGCAATCGCCAAGATACTTTACGATATTTGCACGAATTGCAATATTGAATTGAGAAATTCAAAAAGAATTTAAAAAAGTAATCTTGATATTAAAAATTTTAATACCAAATCAATTCAACGCGCAAATCCAACAGTTCAATTCTTTTAGTGGGTATGTTAAGTTAGCACCTCAACTATAAGTACTCAGGAGTTCTGATTAGAGTTCCCACTTCCTTTTGACGAGACGAAGAGTTCCCTATAGTTAATAACAAGAGTTCCGCTCAATAAACATTTTTTTTACATTTTAAAAAAATGGGGTGCTAAACTTTTTATCGAATTTCGAGGTGGAATAGTTCTGAGCGGCTTAATAGCTTCAATTTGCGATTGCCTAGAGTTTCTGATATGTAAAAAAAAATTAAAAATTTTTGAAATAATAAAAATAAATTAAAAATTATGGAAAAATTAATTTTTAGATACAACAGTTCTAATGATAATTCCTGCTCCTTTTTGACGATACGCAGAGTTCTCTATGATTTTTAATGACATATGCGCTTAATAATAATTTTTTAATAATTTTTAAAAAATGGGCTGCTAACTTTTTAACGAAATTCAAGGTCGCATAGTTCTGATCAGCTTAACAGAACTATTTTGTGAATACCTAGAGTTCTTGATACATAAAAAACATTTTTGAAATATAATAAAGTTTAAAATGTCGCTGTATCTTGCAAACCGTTGGTCCAATCGCTTTTTCGCCTTACAGTTTTCGATAGAACTCATCGAGTACTATAAGAAACACTATTCAGAACTACTCGGTACTCTCAAAAAAATTTTCAAAGATTTCCACTATTTTTTTTAAACTTTATTATATTTCAAAAATGTTTTTTATGTACCAAGAACTCTAGGTATTCACAAAATAATTCTATTAAGCTGATCAGAACTGTGCGACCTTGAATTTCGTTAAAAAGTTAGCACCCCATTTTTAAAAAATTATTAAAAAATGATTATTAAGTTCATATGTCATTAAAAATCATAGAGAACTCTTCGTATCGTCAAAAAGAAGCAGAAATTATCATCAGAACTGTTGTATCTAAAAATTAATTTTTCAAAAATTTTCAATTTTTTTTTAATATTTGAAAATTTTTTTTACATATTAGGAACTCTAGGCAATCGCAAATTGAAGCTATTAAGCCGCTCAGAACTATTCCACCTCGAAATTCGATAAAAAGTTAGCACCCCATTTTTAAAAAATGTAAAAAAAAATGTTTATTGAGCGGAACTCTTGTTATTAACTATAGGGAACTCTTCGTCTCGTCAAAAGGAAGTGGGAACTCTAATCAGAACTCCTGAGTACTATAGTTGGGGTGCTAATTTAACATACCCTCTTTTATTTCTCTTCCACAAAAACACAATCTCCCTTTGATTTTAATAAATTTTGGATGTATAGAAAACACACGCGTTTCTTATTTTTGTTTATATTTTAATATATTTAAAGTTTGCTAAAGTCGAAGGGAGATACTTTATTTTTCTTGACAGAATAATTCTTCTTCTATCCACTTTAATTATTTCATATATAATTTTAATATATAATATTAATATATATTAAAAATATATCTATTAGATGCAACTCGAGCGATGCTCCTTTTAAAGTCGCTTTCTACCTAAATGAGAATCCCTTGACCATCGAAGGCTGCGACAACGGAGTCTGCGATTGGATACAGCTGAAGGAGAAATTGGGTATTATCGCGGCCAATTGCAGCATGGAAGTTTGTCAAAAAATATTGTGAATTAACATAATTATCATTCCAATATTTTTCATGTGAAATATTAACCCCTTAAAAATTAGAATGCAATTGAAAAGCTGTGGTATGCCATGAAAGAAAGGATTATACAGTTGTAATTCGACTATAAATTCTCGCGACTTTATTTCATGTTAGAAGCACTAAAAGAAGCTTTTTGCTTAAAAAAATATGATAAATGCAATAGACACTTTTTTGTACAAAAAAAATCATGAATTAAAGGTCTTTCCATTTTCTTTTCAATTTTTTTGTGCAAAATATTAGACTTTAAAGCAAAATTAGGACGCAATTGAAAAATTGCGATACGCCACGAAAACGATGACTGCACAATTGTGATACAATTACATAAATTTTCGACTCATTTAAATCACTCTTGAACGCAAAGCAATAAAAGAAATTACTCTCTTTCGCCTAATTTGCTTTGTCCTAAATTAAAACAAAGAAGGTTAAACTGAAGCACACATTGTAATTCGTGTTGCGGTACATACAGCAATCACTTGTTTGATCAATAAAGAGGAGAAAGATCTGTTCCAGTTAACTAGTCTTTTCAATTAAACCTACGCCTTGTCACGTCCTTTTGCGCGATCATTACATTTACATTTCATATTCCCCTACACAATTTTTCGAGTTCTCGTGATGTCCTTAATTACTTATTCACTTTACGAGACTATATCTATTCTAGCTAATAACTGGGGCAAGAGAGGCGACGCCCTAACCAGGTCCTTAACCGGGTCGCGTTAACTGACGGGTCGAAGAGATCGCGTGTTCGAGCGTGAGACCACCAGGCACCGGTCTAGGTGCATGCTAGTTACCTAGGAGGCAACGAGGCTCGACGACCTCGGGCGGCAGTGCAACACGAACCGCCGCGGCGAACGGCGGCTTGTTGAACGCTACCTCGCGATCGCGAAGGTGCGCACGTTTATACGTTGTTTACATTGGAGGTATTCCACCCGCCCGTCAATTACGTCTGTGTCGCAATTCATTGCCCAGCCTTTCGCCGAGCAGGTTTCGTTAAGCCTGATCGACCGTGTCCCCCTTGAACTTCGAGTTTCCGAGTATCGGTCTACTGATCTCAAGCCTCTGGGTCTTCGACGAACCGAATATTTCTCTTGGATATTTTTCCACGATCACAAGCATTCCTGGATGTCGTACGTAATGCGATCAACCTAAATTCTCGACTGCTTCGCTTGTCACTAATGTTTTAATCGTGCTTTAATGACAGATATACTGAAATATACTGAAAAAACTAAATTTTAATAAATATTTGTTTGAACTAACTGAATATATTTACTAAATGTAAACATATATTTATTTTTGGTACAAGAATTATTAATTTGATTTAATTATCATTTTTTAAGCAAATATCCATTTACTGTAAATAAACGTTAAGTTTTAATACTATTGAAAAGAATATGTATTAAAACTTTTTCTCAGTTCATTTTAATAAAGTTAAATTATGATTAAACGGAGTAATCAGGCCGAAGTTTTGAGACGTATTATGCCCTGATTTTGGACATGTATGCTGTCAAGGCATTTTTTTAAATTTCAGAGTTTTTTAAAGGTCAGAGTTACCTCATTTTTAATATTCGAGAAATATATATTCCACTATATAATAGACACTTAAACAGTCCACGGAAAAAACGATTTTGCTATCTAAAATGTGTGTCCAAAAATTTAAATACAAATCTAAAAATAAATTCATAAAAATAATCATAAAAATAATTCTATAGGTCAAACCGATTTTTAGAATGTCATTTTTTGCAGGATTGCTCTTCATACTTGAGTTTCTTATTCTAAATTTTTTGAAGAGAAATTTTATTCTATACAGTGAAAATTGAACCAGGCCTAAAACAGACACAATTTTTAATCTTTAAGAGTAACATTTCATTCTTCCAAATGACAATTTATTTTAAAAGTTTTAGAGTACATAATTATTTTTAAGATTCAATAAAATTATTTTCAAATTTGTAGACTGAAAGAAAAGACTAGCTGGTGCAACCAATTAAAATGCTATGCCATATTCAGCCAATCTTTTCTTCCAGAGTATCTATCTAAATTTTTAGATATTTCGTCAAAATCATTCTTTCTGTATATAAATAGTGATAAAGTTTGACAATTAGCTGGTTCTTAAAATTCGAAGAAACGAATTATTTCGAAAAATAGGTCAAAGAATTTAGGAGCCGTATAGGGGAATACATTTAACGAAGATAAACAAGACATATCCGGTTAAGGTAGGTCCGTATATAGTGGGTCAATATTAATGAATCAATCTGATAGAAACGAGGTGAAATAATGATTGTTTGATATGCTTTCGTGTTTCTCGCAAGTCTGTGCCGCGAGGATTTCAAATATCGAAAAGAAAATAGAATATAATCTTTACATGTAATAAAATATTTTATATTTTTTTTGTAGCAGAATTAAAAAAAAACAACTATTAAAACAAACTCATTAAAATACAAAAACTAAAAGAAACTTGTTAAAATATCCGTTCACAAATTTATTTTTCACAATGTTCAAGCTCTTCTTCTGCGTTAACCATTCTGATCTTATGCTTATACATTTTCTCAAATTAAATGTTTAATTCCATTAACTTGTTTTAGTCAAATTAACATATCGAAAGAGAATAATCGCGACTTTAAAAATAACGCAAATTGTCTATAATTTGACATTATAAATTTAAGGAGATATTAAACACTTCTTAAATAAAAAATTGAATTATTAATCTTGATCTCAAATTGATATTTTCGTTGAATTATTAATCTTGATCTTTATAGTCTCTTGAATAATAATTAATCTTGAATTCAAATTGATACTTTTGTTGATGTAACTCGACCTAACTATTCTATTCATTGAAATCTTCTATGAATTATTAATCTTGATAAGCTCTAGAGATTATAAATCGTTAAATGTTTAAACGCTGGAGACAAGTGTATGAACAGCTGGACTTTGAATGCTTCAGTAGATGATTTTCAAAGTTTCTCGCCTTTTTCATTTTCTCAATATCGATTATCAAAAATTCTTAATTAGATTAATACACTTCTCATGAAATCTTCTCTGTGCTCCGAAATTGGCTTAACGCTTTGAATTGAAACCTTAGTCTGAAATTCTCAGAGTCCATTTGGAATTCTCCGGACGGTACGATTCTTAGATTCGTAGACGACACTCCGTAAATTAATCCGGAAACGCTCGATTCGCGACCTCCGAGTTAACGTGTGAAATTACCATATCGCGCTTCAACGCACGCGAGAGATGATTTAATTCGCACTTCGGATTAAATATTGCGCGGCGAATTGTTCGCGTCTCTCTGTTCGCTTCCCTCGTTCACGCGCACGTGATCGAGATTTCGCAAATCCTCGCAACCTGGCGCGCGAAAATGTGCAATGATAATTTGCTTCCGACGTCGTCGTAATTCAAGGATCGCCGATCGCCGATATCAGGATCTACTGCAAGCGAATAAATACGCGCGAATAATTACAACTGCTCTCCTGCTCCAAGAACCATCGAGCGTGACCAACGTCGTCGTCCTACTTTCATGAACAATTGTCGCGAGCGCGCGCCGTCTATCGTTCCGACATTTATTGCCGCGCGTGATATCCCGCAATCGAGAAGGAATCTCTGTTGGAAAACACACTCGGCTTAATTGAAAAAAATAGATGCTTCGACTCTCTGAAACTTTTAGAGCGAAAATCTCACTCTGAAGACTATTACTCTTGCCTGTTTGTGCCAATGTAATTTTAATCTTGACTACCTCTTCATCTTTTTCTAGCTCCAATGTCCGTTTCTACTAAGTAGATTAACTTTAATCTCGATCCATTTTATCCTTCATCTCGTTTTAATTCTTAGAAGTAGAAAAAATGAAGAGTTAATTATAAACTAAGATTAAAATTTGATTATATTGGTAGAAACAACCGTAAGAATTAGAAGAAGATGAAGAATAAATTGGACTGAGATTAAAATTAATTTTATACATTGATGGAACTGGGTTTTAAAGGTTGAAAATTTAATCACTGTTTTTCAGGATTGACTTTATTTTCATTCTTTTAGAGTGAGATTTTACTCTAAAGAAATTAGAGAGGATCGCATGAAGAAACAACTTCGAAGAAAAGTTATTTCTTCTGACGGAAAGCCAAGGACAATTTTGAGAGAATTCGTGAATGATTCTAAAAGAATATCGTATATAATTCTGAAGAAAAAAATTGTCATAACAGCTTTTATTTTTAAGAATTTTTCAAATTTTGAAGATTTCTGAAAAATATTCTTTACGATTTCTTCTAACTTTATAAGTTTTCTTCGGATTGAATGAGAAATTTTACATTATTTTACAATTCATACGTATATATAGAGAATTATAGAAAAATGTAGATTTTTTCAAAGCATTATTGAAAAGAATTCCAATTCATATATTAAATGAATCCAATTTATTGATTAAAAATACAAAAAAAAATCGGAGAAATTTTCTAAAAGATTAAAAAATTATACAGAAATTCTACAAATTCTACAATTTATATAGAAATTCAGAAAAATTATCTAAAGAATTCTAAAAAAATTTTTTCTCAGAGAATAATAATAATAATAATTACCTGAAACTATAGGGAGATCGAGGATTTAGAAATCATAACAAATACATCTAAAAGACAATCAAGGAGATTTGCAATCTCTTTTTCGCAGAATATATCTCAAATAAGGTCAATCGATAAAAAAAATTTTACGTGCAAATTCTCTTATATCCTATTGTTTCATAGAATGCGACGTTTCAATGGTTTTGTTACAATTCTTGTTACACTGGCGAAGGATGACCATTCGCAATTTGCTGTTTGTTCATAAAACGACAATGATAATAACCGTAGCTGACCATTCTTTCCTGTCATTGCAGCAAATGTCCTCTCACACGTGAGTACACGTCAGCTGTATCTGCGTTGCACATTCCTGCCATCCGTCCGCAGTGGCTGTATTTTCTTCGATATGAATATTCATATTTCCTCGATCTAGGCTACACAACTTTTTAAAGCACAATAATGTCGTCGATAATATTTTAACATAAAGTTATTTATTTAGGACGCGCTCATCGCGGTTTAAAGTTTGAAATTTGTCATTAAAAGATCTTGCTTCTCATATTTATTATTCAATTCTTCCCTTCCCTTTTTGATAATTATTCTGATGTCTCCTTCGTTTTATAATTTTTTTATTTTAAATAATTCCGTTCCAGTCGATCGATGTTAGATTCTGACCTTAATCCAATTTTTCGCTGATTAAATTTATTCTCAATCAATCATGCATTAGGATAATCCGTAATAATTTTTCTCTCGTTATTTAAAATATGAAGTCAAAGCTTGAACTGTCTAGATTGCTGGATCATTGGAGAGATGAAATATTTTCACTTTTTTTCAAGGGTTGTATTTTCACTTTCTTGGAATGAGATTTTATTGCAAGAAATTTAGAGTGTAGGGTAAATCTCACAGTCTGAAGAGTGAAATCTCACTCTTAGGTCAATTTTCATCAAGATTAATTTTAATAACGGTTTAATTTAATTAAGAATTAGAAAAATATGAACAGTAAATTAAACCGAGATTAAAGTTAATCTTACATTGGTGGGACCGCGTCTCGAAAATGAAAATTGAATCACTTTTAAAATTGGAGAAAAATATTTGGTTGAATTAACTGACATTCTGATAGAAAATGACGGATCCAGAATTCTGGTTAAATCTACTAGATTTTTGGTGTTAAATTTACTAGAATTCTATTAAATTTAACTAGAATTCTCTAGCTCGGTCCACCAGCGAATTTCAGTTAATTCAACCAAATATTTTCCTCCGTGCTAAATTTTCACTCTTTAAAGTGACTTCGCTCTTTAAACTCCAAAGAATTTAGAAAGTAACTATTTTATAACAATATAATCGACATTCGTTACTTACATAATAACAAGCTTAATTACGTGTTCCTTATAAATAACATGTTCGTAATAATAAATTGCAAATATTTTTCCTCATACATGTCGTGCTTTGTATCATCATCGAAGCGACGCTCGAAGCAACGTAATGGATTTCGCATTGAAACAAGATTGCAGCTGACGTTAAAGGCATACTTGCGCGGTGCTCGCGAACGATGAAGAAATTAAACATAAGTAGGCCAAGTATGTAGCATGGCGGCCGTAAGAAGCAAAAGAAGAAGTCTCTTCACTAATCGCGCCGTTGCCAATTACGTTATCGTCAACTATTACGTCCAGGCTATTTCTGGATCGAGTGATGGAGTCCATCGTTCACAAGATCTCGAAGACGATTGTAACGTCTTATACTGAGGTTCATTCTCTTGTCCGGACCCTGAAAACCGGTTTCTCTCACGACTATTGTGTAATGCGCACAACGTAATTTTACTATCACGTTTCTCTTTCAAGGCGGCCTTGGCCTTCGCGTTCATCTCCCACGTATATAATATAATAAATCACCCTCTCACGGAAGTTGAAGCCTCGAGATCCCTTTGAATCCTATACAGCACGATTATGTTATCTCGAAATGAGATAACGAAAGTGAACAAATTCATTAGCAAGAAAATGTTCTACACATTGCAAAAGTGATTATAAAAAAAAATACGTTATCAGTCGAAAGATCATGTTTGAAATAAGTACTCTAGATAGTTAAATTTTGGGATCCAGTGGATTCTGTACCGACTTAGGTAAATGTTTGATCATTTTAACTTAAATATAAAATATTTCATATAAAAATTGTTGCCCATTTGAATTCGATAAAAGATGGAGCTAAAATCTTTGATTTTATCTGATGGTCCTCTTTAAAAAAAATCGTTTTTCGACTTTTAATAATTTTGATAACAATTTAATTTAATGTTATCACTTATTTGTCAGTTTATTTATAACCCCGAAAAACACCAACATGGCATTACTGTTTCAAATTCAACAATGTAATTATTACGTAACATGTGTTATATTCTATTTATACTGTTGAGTGTGAAATTATAATATCAACGTTGTGTTACTGTTAATTGGTGTTTACTGGAAATCGACAAATGAAATCCATATGGTATCATTATGACTCAGTATTCTAACTGAGAAGTAGAACAAAAAGTCATGATGACATCCAAACGACTTCAAAATAATTATTTAAAAAATCCTTCGGATCTGATTTTATTGGAACCGCATATTAAAAAATTCGTTAAATTCAATTGGTGTACACTTTAATAAGTAATAATTAATATAAAAATAACTAAACTCTTCTCTCTCTCTCTCTCTCTCTCTCTCTTCTGTCTAAATTTTTTCCAAATTTTGATTATTTTTTAACATTATTATATGTATATTGTAGGTACATCAGATATCAGATGATGTCGATAAAATTAAATAATTTTAACGTCTTCTTTGATGTAGGTATTACAACATAAAAAAAATTTGTCAAAGTTTGTCCAAAAAATATAAAAATGACAAATTCAGACACTATTGCTGCAATTTGATGAAAAGTATCTCATTTTGTCTGTAAGTATCCGAATTTGTACATTTTGACAATTTTCGGAGAAATTTAGAAGGAATTCGAACACATTTTGACTATACATTTCGGACAAATTTTTCCACTAGAGAACATATACAAGATATGAAGGAATTAAAAATCACTTTATTTCAATTAATAGTTTTAATGTCATTTTGACGTAATCTGTACTCGTCTACTTTGAGGATCTTCTCGCGAGGGACGCAATGTTCGACGATTTAAAAGATCCAACAGATAAACGAGATAAGAAAGAATCAAGTTTGAGACGCTGCGGGTCCGCGTTTCACCCGTTATCATCTTCTCGCTAATTATCGCGTTAATACTTCGCCGCGGCAGTTCTCGGCACGAATGAGCGCGAATACGCGCGAACACACTTCCGGTTACGTAATCGCCGTAGCGACTACATCGTTACGCTAGCCTCCTCGAGTTAGTAATAAGTTACATTCCGCGATGTCGTCAGCCGACGGCGAAATGTAGGTTTACGACGGTCCGCGGAACGCGAAAGGAAAATCGCTTTTCCACGAACAGATCCCTCGGCGTTCCGCGCCAGGATCGGCGAGAAATTCACCGTTGAAAATTTATTTCATGCGTCATTTTCCGAGAAATCCTGGAGAGGTTGAGGCGTTATCTAAATATATCGCGAAATTTGCAGTAGGTACTAAATAAACTGCGAAACCTATGCTACCATATATATGTAATTTGCTTAAAACTTGCTGCATTGGCAGATATTGTGAAAACAAAAGTATATTAAGTGTTATCTGCTGCTTTGAACACGCGCATTAAAATCTAAATGGAAAAATAAAATGTAAAATGTTCCTAAATATTATAAATATATATAGGTATTCTAATTTATACCCTAAAAATTCCCAGAAAATATACTCAGAAAAAAATTCTCGTAAAATAGGCCTATTCTTTTCAACTCTTCCACTTACCCCTTTCTTCTTTTTCTTTCCACTTTGGAAGAAAAAAGTTGAAGGTATAAGAAATTTAATTACAAAAGAACAAGGCTAATATTTCATAATATTTTTAAGAATTTTTGAAGAAAAATAAGTCGAAACGTTCCTATAAATTTAATGATTATAAAACTTGTAGTTTAATTTTTAATATATATGATTAAATAAACTAGTTAAAAAATTTCAAAAACCAATAAATGTGCTCGTGATTTTACCTTTCTATCTACATTTTTTGCTTAGCAATCTCGAACTTGGAAAAATTATATATTTAATTTAGAATTTTTTATATTTTAAATTTATATAGATTTCTAGAAAATACTTCTTGAACTTCTTTAGGATCTACGAATTTTTTTCAGATATTATAGAATGAAAAATCTTATCAATAGATTTTTCATAAATCTGAGAGAAAAGTATATGATATTTATAATTATAATTACATAGTAAAATAATTAAAATTGTAGGAGCTCCATTTTTTAAATTATTACTGTTACATTATTAATAATTACACAATAACAACTTTATATATTTATAATTTTACTAACTATAAAAATCAACGATTTTTCTATTTTAAATTATGACAATGTAAAATAATAATATAATAATAAAAGATCGAGATATGAATGGTAAATAAAAGAAACATTTTTAGTAAATGCAATCGCAATTACAGAATGGCGCACGAAATGTCACGCAATTTAATTATCTCGTTAAAATTATATTTGAGGAATAACGTTTTTTTTTAATTATATTAGCAAACTTTATACGTCATGGAAATTCTGTTAGGTGTGGCATCATTACACAAGTTGGAATTGGGCGGAGGTAAAGCGCACTAGATTGTGAAATACAACAAAGTGACACATAAAATGTGTCATTTATGTTCCATATATTACATTTATTTTTAACAAAAATTCGTAACGTTTCACCTCCGCCCAATTAGTGATACCACACCTAACAGAACTTCCGTGAAATACAGAATTTACTCTCACAGTTAAAAATCTCTACAAGTTTAATTAAAATGAAATAATTAAATGATATGATATTACATGCATCATCCTGTATAATGAATATAATTATTTTCTTACTATTCGCTTAATATTTTTCATATAATAATAATTAAAAGTGTGTAGAAAAAATAAAGAAACAATATTCACTTTCACAATATACAGTTGCGTGATCGCATATCACAATTGTGATAATCGTAATGCGTGTTGAAGCAATAATAACTTGCATGATTAAAACAACTATGTATAAATATATATAATAGTTAGCACTGAACATAACTATGTATATAATTATAGTTAAATTATGCATGGTAACTGCAACCATTTTTTTTCTCATATAATTAGTGGAGTATTTAAAAAAATTACATGTATAAAAATGTTAATAAAGGTGTAGCCAACATAGACTTTCTCAATTTTCGCGCGCGAAAAGCGTTACAACTTCTATTAAAAAATCTATAAGAAAAGTTTTGCAAAAAGTTATAAAATATTGAATTTGTGAAAAATTCGAAAACTTACATAAACATTCTATAAAAAATATATAAAGAATCCTAATTCTTTGCACATTTTCACCAGAATATCTTTTGTTATATAATTTATTTATCTGTGGTATATTTCATTGCCGATTTTTATATATTTAATGGCTCGTTTTACACCAAACATCGGTTACATCGTTCACCATAAAAACATACTCTTACGTAACCTTGCCATTCGGTATTTCATAACGCTTCTTACATTTAACATAAATCGAAGCTTTAAAAGAAATCTTGCACTTCCGGTTTAGACAATAGTGGTCTACTACATTCTCTTGATTTCCACATCGGACGTGGCTAATTCTATTTATTCGTTGGCAGAATTATCATCCTTATTATTATTCTTATCGCAGAAGCGGCGACTTTCACTGCATAATGTCCGCATTGTTGGTGTTGTTGGTCGCATCGTTCCTGGCTTCACCGAGCGTCCACGTGCTCGCACGCGATGTCGATTTCTGCTTCGCGGACGAGGATAACCCGTATCTGTACATGGCCACGAAGACCGCGTATCACTTCGTTCATGGTGGCAAGACCCGCTTCCAAACAGTACCGCGTAAGTACCGAAAGTCGAACTTGGACCTCTCGACATCGATCAACACCGATCCAAAAAACACACCAAGTCAAGAAAAAGACGTACTAAATGACGTACTTCAACGTCAAAATAATAATTTTCGGTTACAAAATTTGACTGTTTATTGATTTTAGGCATCCAAATAAAGTCATTTTGATGTGATTTTAATTTTTTGTTGATTTTTATAATGTTCCTTGGGGAGAAACGATCAATACTGCTCGAAATATTCACATTGAGAGAAAAAATTGTAATATTTGCAACTATAAAAATTTTCCTTTCAGTGAAAAAGAGTAGATAAAAAGAAAGATCAGCGAAACTGATACTTTTGATCAATATACTTGTAGTTTAAGGTTGTGAATATTTCTCCTTTTTATCTTTTTAATATTAAAATCAATAGAACAATCATCAGTTAGTTGAAAGAATTCATTTTGACACTTTGACTTGGAATCTTGAATAATAAAAAATTATTCTGTTTTAATTACACATAGACGATGGAAAATAAGGTGGTAATTATTATTAAACATTTCTATTCGACAGATTGTCGACCGGTGCAAATCTGGATGCTCGCGGCACACGGCACCCGTTGTCCGACTATGCACGAGATTGACAAGATCGTCTCTTTAGCTAATCTCAAAGAGCAGATACTCCAGAATCATGAAGAGCGCAGAGGTAAGTCAACCCTTCCTTTCTTAAGTCTTCTGTATTTTTCACTCTTCTTAACCTTTTCTTTCTCTTTTTTTTGTATCGTCCTGTATAAATTATATTTCAACTTTTTTTCTGCCATATTCTGTTAAATATCGACACTAATAATTTTTAGATCAATTTAAAATTTGTATCAAATTCAGCAATATTTCCCACGTTTCGTAATTTTACAATATTTAAATTAATAAAATAAAAGTGTAAGAATTAAACATACGTTTTAATGTCGAATATTAGATTCATATTATATGTAGATATATGATATTAATGTTTACTTGGCTCGTTAAATAAATATTTATTAAAATTTAATATATTTTTTCTCAGTGTAGGAATGATTAAAAATAACTCAAATTGATAAAGTTTGACATTATGAATTTAAAAGTATGCGCTTTTCTTCGCTCGATTTCTAAAATGCCTTGTTTATCGTGCAGAGGGTCACATGTGCAATCGAGATTTGGATAATCTGCGAAAATGGAAACCAGACGAATATTTGTCGTCGCAACGGGCGGAAGTCCTAACACCGCAAGGAGTGGAAGACATGAAGCTGTTGGCGAGAAGGTTGCAGAGCAATTTCCCAGAACTGTTGCAACCCAACTTTTACAACATTACATCCGCTAATTACAAAGTATCTCTTGACAATTATTTATTACGTCGATCGCTGTATAAATACGTCAATATTGGTTCTAATCGGACAATCTACATCTTCGTGTCAGATTTCAGAATAAAACTTCATTTATAATTTCCTATACCGTTTTGATTTGTCAAAAATGTTTCATATTTTGTGACGCATTTATAAATTAATAAAATTAAAATTAACAAAATTTAATTAATTTAAAAAAATTAATAAAATCGTCTACAGGGTTAATTAAATAGATACAGGTGTTAATTAAATAGATTTCAATTAAGTACATTAAATAAATATGATTCTCCATTAAAGAAAGCTTATCTAATTTTTTAAACATTTTCGCATTATACGTGACATATTTAATAATAAATGAATTTTATCCGAAATTCTAACACAAATTATAGATCGTCTAAAGTGGAAGTTAATTAACCAGATTCCATTAAGCAAATGTCAATAAGTATCGAGCAAATCATGAAGCAGCCGAGGCGATATAGAACACGATTGATTTTCAGTTCCGTGCTACTGAGGCTCGAGATAGCATGACATCTTTTATGGAAGGGCTGTTCGGAAGTAGATCTGCCGTATTACCGGAAGAGAGTTCCTTCAACGATACCTTACTTACTGTATGTATTTAACTGTTTTTTATTAGCGTATATAATTATGTTTTAATTATATACGCTATAAGAGATTTAAAATTTATAAATAAGGCAAAGGCATAATAAAATGGATTACGAAAAATTGTAAAATTGTTTCATGGGAGATACGCAAATATATGTATTTTTAAAAAATATTAAATAATTCTATTCGCAATATATTTTCAAATATTAATGCATGTTTTGTGTAAAATTTTTAATATTATAGAAAAACATGAATTAATATTTTAATATATCACAAATAATAAAAATCTCGCAGGCGTACAAAACGTGTGGCGTATGGAAAAATGAGGAGAAGGAGGGATCATTCGAAAATATGGAACGCAGCAAATTTGAGAATGGACCGGAGTTTCAGAATCTCCTAAAGAACGTCAGCAGACGAATCGGTTTTCTATACAATATTTCCGCTGGTACGTACAATCGTTCATTGTTCATTGTTAATTTATATTCGACAAATAGAATATTTTAAATACAAGATTAAATTGTTGAAATAAAAGCAAATTAAATTTGACTAATTACCGTTTCTATTAATGTAGATTAACTTTAATCCCGGTATATATTTTTCTTTAGTTTATCTTTAGTTCTAAGAATTAGAAAAAGATAAAGAGTAAATTAAAATGTGATTAAAATCAATCTACATTGGTATAGAAATGCTGAGTTGGAAAAAACTTCGTAGTGCTATAAACTTCAGAATTCAAACAGCTATAACTTTTTTTAAAAAATGAACAAAATTTAATTTTAAAAAAAAAGAGGTTCAAAATCTCTACTTTTGGTCTGTAATATTTTCAGATAAGATCGACGCTATGTACGACGCATGTCGATACCAGAAGGCCTGGTCTGTCACTGAACTTTCACCTTGGTGCGCCGTCTTCAGTAAAGAGGAACTCCGCATCTTGGAGTACAGAGAGGATCTCGACTACTATTACAAAGCGGGCTATGGGCGGGATATCAACACACGTTTGGGTTGTCCTCTGTTGCACGACATGATGCGACACTTCTGGTATTGCAACACAACGAGTCTCATTTCTTGCATTCCACGAATTATAAGACTTCTATTAAAGCTATCCTCTATCCAGTTTCATATTTTGAGCTATCAGACACGTTTCGCCTATAATCGCATTTATTACACAATATATAAATATTATTTTTTAAATGTCCTAACCCTAATATTTATTTTGAAATTTCTTGATATTCCTAGATCTACTATATTTTAAATTAATGTATTTTTTTTTTTTAAGTTAACGTAATTGAACGTTTTTTTTTTCATTTTGTAGGTCTAAATCCGAGGATAAGATTACATATTTAAAATTATGTAAATATCTACTCCCAAAAGAATAACTCACTAAATCGATCGAGAGAAATGACTTTATTTTGACGTCAAAATAATGATCTTTGGATACAACATTTGTTTATTGACGTTAAGAATCAAAATAAAGTCGTTTTAAATTTCTGTTGACTTTTGTGTGAATTAGACCCGCAAATCCTAAGTAAAAGTAAGAAGAAAAGTCGCTAAAAGACAGTGCTTGGAGTTTGAATATTAGACTATACTTTGTAATCTAATAAGAAAGAAAAAATGGAAAAGCTCAGATATGTTTTTTTATCAGGAATATAGCACGTGATGAGATGACAGGCGAGCCCGCGGGTATCTTCTACTTTAGCGACATCGTCAGCCTGCAAAATCTTGTAACCACGATGGGCATAAATGAAGACCAGACACGACTGACTGCCTACAATTACAAAGAGATGGCTAGACGTCAATGGCGCACATCAATCATATCGTCCTTCGCTGCGAATCTCATTGCAGTATTTTACAAGTGAATATACACGTCCCTTATCCTGCATTCGTTAACTGTTATTTTGATTACTTATTCGAAAATAATTTATTACTATTTATTTCGATTCAATCGATTTTACTGTAAAATCAATTGTTTGCTATAAATTGGAATATCTATAATAATATATTTAGTCTTATAATTACAAATTCATAAATTTTGAAATTTTTTGTTTATATATGTATATATATATCGATTTTTTACTCCATTAACTTCACTATAATTTTACTTATTTTACTTACAAATTGTATTCGTATTTTTATAATATTACTGATATTTAAAATGTTTTAAGTTATGTCACAAAAACTATCAAGTTAAGATATCTTAGGTTGCTCTAAAGTAAGCAAATTAAATAAAAACTATTAATAAAATTTGATTTGACCATTTAACTTTAATATAAAAAAATCAATTAAATTATTTTTAATAAATCAATTAATTAGTATTGAACTCTGCTACACGCAACGAAGATTATTTAAAAATTTTAAATAAAGTATCAACAAATTCTAACTCTTATAAAAAATATATTACAGATGCAATGACAGTAATAATCGCAATAAAGTGATGTTTTATCTCGGGGAGAAACCAGTGCGGTACGAAGGCTGTCAGGTTGGTCTTTGCGATTGGGAGTTCCTGAAGAGCAAGTTCGGTCAGCTAGCGTCAAATTGCAAGCTGGACGTCTGCTGGAATACGAACGGAGCTACCTCCAGCTTTCCTAATTCTATAGCCATCCTATTAGCGTGCTTTATTGTTCTAGTCCGTCTTGGTTACCGACAATTGTAAATACCTAAGCTTAGTTTTACAATACTTTTTTTTAGCGTTACATCGTAAAATACTGAGTATGAATGAGATCTTCAGTAGCCTTAAATTAATATATTTATAGGAGACTCCTGTTTTCCATAAAGTAAAAAAAAAAACACGCAGAAAATTAAGGCGTTAAATTGTAGCGATTGTACCGCTTTTAGAGCTGTGTTAATTTTTGTGACTTTAAATATATATTAAACGCATTACGATGTATACAATATATGCAAATAGTATATAATATGTAGTAAGTAATAGTATATAATATGTAGTAATAACGTTTAATCTGTCTTTACATAATTTATGCCTACATTTTATTATATATTTTACGCCTAAGAATTATAATATAAAATTATTGTTATAATATTATATATTTCTTCCAATTTACGATAATGTTCTAATGTATTTTAAAATATATATTTATTATATTTATGTTTTATTTATATGCGTCCATTATTATTTTTATTAATTATCTACAACACAATCAGAAATACAGTTACTCGCAAATCAAGATAAGTATGGAACGTTGCAAAAAATATGTAGGACTGTCAGTTATTAGCGTATATTTCGCATATTAACTCCCTAAAATACACAAATTTACAAAACTACAGGAAAATCGCAGAAAGGGAGTATTATACATATACATAAATAATAAAACATTTAAATCCAGTTTTCATAATTTACAACTGATTAACTCTTAACCAAGATTTAACTTATTCCTTATCTCTTTCTATTAGATCATTAAGTATGAAATGTCCGTTTTTCGTATTATTATTAATACGAAATGTTTACGCGTTTTTAAAAATATTTGACAATTGTACCATTCAATAAAGCAAAATTTCAGTTTTAATAATCTGTTCTTTTAATTGTGTTTGTGACGATTTTTAATGAAGTTACAAATAATTAAAGTCAAAATGCTTCTTTTATTTAATCAGCGATAACAAAAAATCAAGAATAATTTTAAAAAATGATTTGTTGTAGGAAAAGTTTTGAGCTTTTATGTTAGAAAGTCAAATTTATTTTAAGTGCGTGACAAGTCTACAAAGTAAGAAAAAAATTTCATTTTATCTTGTTTATAGTTTTTTATAAAAATTACTAAACTCACAGAAACTGATCAAAAAATATAGCAGCCTTTTGAAAATAGAGCTTTAAAACTCTTTTTTTTTTTTTTATTTAAATTTCGTTTTTTATGGAGTTACAGCTGCTATTAATAGTAATAAAAAAATCGAACATTTTGTACTTAATAACGTAATAATTATAGAATTGGAGAAAAATGAGAAATAAGTTAAACCTCGATTAATAATAAGCTTTCTCCAATAAGCCATTACCTAAACTTTAAATAAGCTATAAGAAATTAACTACTCATAGTCGATTATTCTTCTTATATTCGACTATAATTGATCAATTTCTTATGACTAAAGACTTAGATAATGACTTATTGTACAGAAAGTCCAGATTTACAATAAATTTTTAAACCTTATGCCATAAGAAATGGACGAATCACAGTCGATTATTTTCCTCGTATTCGACTGTAATTGGTCAATTTCTTACCTTCAATATCTATTGTAGATCATTGTAGATCCAGATTAACGCTCATTTCCACTAATATAAATTAACTTTAATCTTGATTTAACTTACTGTTCATCTTTTTTTAATTTTTAGAACTAGAAAAAAACGAAGAGCAAATTTAACCGAGATTAAAATTAATCTACATAGGTGGAAATTTAACAGCAATTAACCGTCAATAATGAAACTGAACTCCACTATATGAGATATCCGCCAAATATCTTCAATCAAACTACGATTAACTTAATCTAAGATTAGCGATATCTTTACTATTTCGTTATAGACCTCGAATAGAATTAATAATCTTATATTGTATGTACTTACATGCAGCTAGAAACTTTCCGGGCAATTACTCGCGACTCGCGGCGATGACTTAACCTAACCTAACTTCTCCATGCATGACGTCAATCACGGCAACGCCAGTGTCGCCAATCCAGTTCCCATAGCACTCCAGCAGTTCAATTCCTACTTCTTAAGATATAAAAATCGTGTCCGACTTTTGCAATATGTCCACGTAGGATCCGATCTTCCCGTCCCGGAAGAAAGAACCGTTTGATATAATGACTTCGTAGTCTCGAGGTGAATGTCTTTGCCAATTATCGCGCATGATTCGCGTAACGATCGTAACGATACCACTCCGAAATTCAGTGCTGTTGGAAAGCCGTGATGAATTTTCCATGTTTCAATCGTTGCTCCGTTTGCTTTCTCGAATATCGAAGCTAACAATTACAGCCGCGCGGTACATTATACCCCACACGGCATGAAATATTAATGTAAATCAATTTTTGAAATATTTTAATAAAATATTTTTCAGAGAGGGAGAAAAGAGAGAAACATTTTGTAAATATTTTAAAAATAATTTAAAATGTTGCGTTGAGGTATTTCACCAAAATATTTTAGAAATATTGTACAAATATTGTAAGAGAAAGAATATTTTTAAAACTCTTTTTGGACATATTTATATTTAAAAAATAATTTATATGAAAAATTTCTGAAATATTTCATACTGCATGGGACATTTTGATGCAAATCTAACTTGCACTTGAATTGAAGCATTCCACAATTTTCTATCTCACTCAATTATTTTTACTTATCTCACATGTTAGGCCCTTGCAACTGTGGATGCAAGAAAATTGCTAGATCATGAATATTCTGTTTCACAGGTCTGTTTTTACTCCTGTACTAGATCACTAAAGTTTTCTATTTTCCTTTAGCTAAATATCAAACATACTTGTTTCACTTTGAGTTCCAAAAATGTACTGATTCAACAGAAGAAAGATCTACATATAATAACTTGTATTATTAATCTACTACAAACTTGACTGTTAACATAACTTTAATTCTCATGCTTCAGAGCCTTTGATAACTAACTGATGTGACCATGGCCAGTCCAAAAACGCGACGAGTGCTAAGTGAATTGAAGCCAAAGGACGAGAACAATGTAAGCTTGATTGAGAGCAAGATGAAAAGTATATCAAGTATTTTCTCTTCTTTTATAAAGATTAGATTTAAGTATTTATTGGTTTTAGGATACATTTTAGTCAAATATATAATTAATGCAAATCTTTTAATTTCAATTTCTATATTTTTAGTAAATGTAATTTCTATTGTTTATCTTAGCACTTTGTGTGTGTGTGTGTGTGTGTGTATAGAATTGACATATCACTTATTTGTTATAACAATGCCATAACTCAAAAAATAATATTTTCTAGAAAATAAACATTTCAATGTTTCTGAGTTGATATATAGTACATTTATTTTTTATTAATATTTAATTATTTGCTATTAATTAAAAAAATTAAGTTAATTAGCATCTTGCAACTGACTTCTTTACGATTGTGAGATTTATACATGTTTGTGCATTTTGTAGAAATGTTTTGAATGTGACAGCCACAATCCACAATGGGTATCCGTGACATATGGCATTTGGATATGTCTAGAGTGTTCAGGTAAGCATCGTGGTTTAGGTGTGCACTTATCGTTTGTCCGTTCTATCTCTATGGACAAGTGGAAGGATGTAGAACTGGAAAAGATGAAAGTCGGTGGCAATAGAAAAGCCCGAGAGTTCTTTGAGAGTCAACCCGACTGGGACGAATCTATGTCCATTTCACAGCGTTATAATACAAAAGCGGCGGCGTTGTACAGGGACAAGGTAAAGCAATTTATACACTTATATATCACCGAGTCCATTAAGAGTCGCGTCATTCGTTAAAAAATATTTTTCTTTGGTTAGATCGCTACATTAGCGAGAGGAGAGCCTTGGAGTCCAAGTAATTCAATGGCAAAGGATTTCCAGCCTTCAACATTCATTAAAAATAAACAAGATTACTCTTACCAGAATGACTCTTATCAAAATATGGACTCGAATAATCTAAAGATGCAGACGGAATCGTTCTTTGTGAAGAAACAGAATGAAAATGCCAATCGTCCAGAGTAAGTCTATATTCTGACTTTTATTTTCTGTATCAAGCATTATGATACATTAATATATTATAGAACATGGAACAATTAAAAGTACAAATAAATTGAAAATACGAAGATTCAAAAAACAAAAAAGTAAACAAATTTAAATATGAGAGTATTTTTTATGAGAAGCGAAAAGTGTAGAAGTAATTATAATTACATTATCGTTATTTTAGTCATATCCCTCCTAATCAAGGCGGTAAATACGGTGGCTTTGGCTATCAGATGGATCCACCACCCAAGAGTTCGTCCCAGGAATTGTTCGACACTGCAGTATCATCATTAGCGAGTGTACAATTTTTAATGTTTACTAAATGTGTAATTTAAAGTTAACGAATTAATCTATTATTTATTAATATTTCAGGGATGGTCAATATTCTCTTCCTCGGCGTCAAAAATAGCAAGCAAAGCTACCGAGAATGCAATCAAGATTGGAGGACTTGCGACACAAAAAGCAAGTATACAAATTTCGAGAAAGACTCAAGTGTAAATTAAAAATTAAAAATTTTACTTGTTCTCTTAAGAAATATTAAAAAGAACAACATTTGTAGCTTATTTAGGTACTTTTTTAACTAGTTTATTTATTTTTACGCACTCATTTATCTTCGATTGTTAAAGTTGCCATGCATAAATTTATTTGAGAGCGTAAACACGATTGATTAATTGTCATTATTTTCTTAAATTTATTTGTATTATTCTCCTATCGAATTTATAATTCTTATTTTCAAGGCATACTTTTATTTCGTTTTTTTTCTTTTTTGTTTGTATTAAATCATTAGGTTCGTGATGGCACATTATTAGAGGACGTAGGAGCCCAGGTCAATCATTTGGTTACAAAGGTATAAATTTTTTTCGTTTGCTTTTTCTGTTCTTTACTCATTTTTTAGTTCTTATAAAAAAAAAATATATATATAAATAGGTAGATGTTTTATTAAAAATCAAGAAATTAAAGAAAGATAATATATAGGTTGGGGATATAACTAGACGGGGAGGATGGGGTGATATTGCTGGGACCAATTCAGCGGAACAACAGAGGCAATACGATTCCACAGATCGATATCAGTATTCCTCCGATACGTATCAGAATAGCGATCTGATTTCGAATCGCTCCAATGAAAAATCATCTCTTGTAAGAAGCTCCAGTTCAAAGTATGTGCTTTTTAAGTTTCTAACACATACAGAAAAATTTTTATTAATTAAGTTAAAATACAATCGATTTATTCAAAATTCATTCCTTGCTTATTTAAGAAGTAACATTTCTACTGGAGATTCCTCCAATACCTCGAACTGCGATTGGGATTGGGGCAACGACACGAAACAAACGAGCAGTAAGACTACGGTAACTTCAAAGAGACAACCTAAGGCGGAGAAAAGAGAAGAATCATTAATCAATTTCGAAACGGACAATAAGGCACAACAGAATTGGAACTCAAAAACGGAAGACGACGCATGGGAAATACTAAATAATTAACCCTGATATGATTAGCGCGAATTAGGAAATGAGGATATCAGTATATGTTAATTTTAAAGAGAATTAAAGAATGGATACATGCACTTATATGAGATGTGTTTCTTATGAAGTGACCTATTTTCCTTGTAAAATAGGATACAATTTTGTTCAGTATATATATAATTCATAATACAATAAGTAACAAATTACACAATTATTATTATTAACGTATTAACTGTAGAATATAAAAAAAACAATAACTGTACAATATAAAAAAAACAACAATATAAAATTGTAAATTATTTCCAAGTCTTACAATCCTTTTTGAGATCTTGAATATTTAAACTCCAAAACTTCTTAAAAATTAAAGAACTTGGAGATTTCAAGAGATTAAAATTTTTAATTTGTAATTTTTAGATCTAAGATAAACAGTTTTTTGCTGTTTTTGTTCTATGCAGCATCATTCCTGAAATAAATGGTACGATTATTTAGATAGCCATGTCACTATAAAAATTAATCCTCAGATACTCAAAACATTAAAAAATGTCATAACATTGTAAATGCGAAGTCGTTTAAGGATTTTTATATTTTTCGATTGCGTCATTGTTGTACACACTGTGTATTATAAAATATATAATTACAAAAACAATAAAATTTTATTTTAAAAAGTGCATAAGAATATTTATTCTATAACGAAAATACATTCGATGATAACAATATAATTATTAAATACAGATGGATGCAATTTACACCATCATGTATAAAAAAATGTATAAAAATCCATTTAAAGTCTAATCATAACAGCGATATATAAGGATTAATATAAATAATTTTATACTAACTTTTTTCGTGAATATGTTCTTCTGACTGGCGTTCTGCTGTAGATATGTATTTGACTTAGATATCTTAGAAGGTCCAGTTGTTTGTTCGGCCACACTTCCTCTATTAATTCTGATAATAATCTGTGTAAAACGGTCGCAGAATTACTAGAAAGCTGCGGTGCCGGCTGATTCGTCATCATTTTATAAAGGAAGTGATACACTTCGCTAAAAATTATGCATCAATTATCATCAACTATTTAGTAATTTTATAAGTATCTAATATAAAGTAGATTTAATTAAATATAATACATTACATATATACTATTTTAAATATACATATACAGAATATTCGGCAATAGATGGGACAAAATTTAAGGAATGATTCTAGATAATAAAATAATGAAAAAATAGAGAACAAAATTACGAATTGTCTTCATTTTTTAATCATAAATTTTTAAATATTCACATAAAAAGTACCTAAAATACGTAAATATTTAAGCATTTATGATTACAAAAACAAAGTCAATCAAAATTTTGTTATCCTTGATTTTATAATTTTCTAAATGTTTAATTATTTACATAAAAGTGCTGATAATGCATGTGACTGTTTGTGTGTATGTGTGTGCAAATATTTATAATTAAAAAAACTGAACCAAATTTGCAATTTTGGTATTCTTAAATTTCATCTCAATTTAATATCTAAAATCATACACTCCTTAAATTTTGTCTTATTCTTGTTGCTAAACATTTTATATATTATATATACATACATTAAGTAACAATAGAATCATGTTATAGCAGAATAATAAAACTAATAAAATTAAATATGAATAAATAATAAAAGATACATGAGCCATACAATATTGATACATAAATGTTACATATCAAGAAACATATCACTCTTAATCAATGTAACACAAAATTTCCATACTTTTTATAATAATAAAATTTACATACATATAGCATTCTAGGATTATGAGAAGGTTAATGCTGTCTATATCATACCTAAAATCACATTCTATCTTCTTCTGAGGCAATGACTGCTGTTCGTATAATGCAATGAATAACAATGCCATAGGTATATTATATTCAGATTCTTTGAACAAATTACTGTGTAACCAACCAACTACCGAAGGCTTGTCCTTAAGAAAAGTCTGTGTCAATTTGAACGCCGAATCAATATTAGATCGACATTCGTCCGTAGACATGCCCAGAACGCTACTAAAAGGAAGATTCTGATGTCCATATTTAAAGAGATCATTTAATACCGTGATCATATTCTCTTTACTACCAAAAGGTAGCTTCTCCCTTTTAGCGTTACTCTCTTCGTTATCATTATCATTTTTCTCCATTTTAATGGTTGCTCCACTAATAAAAGATTTCTGACATACTGCAGAAATATAAAAATATAATTTAAAACTCAAGAAATGTTAGTAAATAAATAAGTCATATATAAATAATGAGAACTAATTAAATAGAATAAATAAATTCAATTCAATTTTTTTCAGCAATAACGCTCGAAAATCAATAAGAGACTAGATTGACTTATGTCGTCTTAAGAGACTGTACTTAAAATGATATTAAAGATGAGAACTGCCCTGAGAAAAATGTTTTGATGGTATCGACAAAACGAATTCTTATATTAATGAGAATTTTAGTTATCGTAATAAAATTTCTGGTTGTTCCAACTAGAACGTTTGATAGATTTAGACACTATAAATACTTGGATTTATATCTTCTTGATTGAATTTATCAAAATTTCAATTAATACAATAAGACTTTCCAGTGCATGAATATCAGGACCAGGTTAGGATTCTTACCAAGAGTTTCTCCTCGAATTTGCAATGTACCTTTTAAAAAACAAATACGTTAAAATGTGTACTTCAACTTTATCTGTTAATTATTATGCAAATGATGAACTGTCACAATCGTAGTTACAAGATAACGTTTTTTTAATAACACGTATTTCACTCGTCGTTAGTCGCGGTCGCGCTCCTAAATTGTTGTCATGTCATTACTCATTACTTCATTAGGCGAGTTGGAGACGTTGGAGTTCAAGATCATGGTATAAGAAATACCATGTTCAAGATGACAAAGAGGCTAGGTACGCTTGTCGAATGATCGAGTATGATTGGTTGGATCTATAAGTAATAACCAATAATTAGCGCCAAGTGGACAGCATCCTTTATCTGCTATTCCGAGCCAGAGACCCTATTTTGTAACTCGTTAAGCAGTTAACGACATCGTTGCGCAGCTTTTTATACCATAAGATATCTGTATTCCGGATCTGTATTCCCGATCAGAATCGTGTATTCCGGTGTAACTGGTATCTGATAGGTTAATATTTTAATATCTAATATCTGTTCCCCATTGTGCGCAGGTCTTAAAATTCTTATATTTAACATCTGTTCCTAATATTTATCCTATTGTGCGCAGCCTTTAGCTGTCCTGTGTTCGCACGCAAAGAAGCCAAGTTGTGTTTATTTACGTGTTTACATCGTTTCAGCCTTCAGCTTTTGGGAATAAGACGATCCCTTTTTCCAACGGATGTTTGACCTTCTGTTATAAAACTGTCCAACCTCGACGAGTGAGTATTTGAAACGCGAGGGAAAGAAAATGTCTTGTTTAAATAGGTAAACTGTTTTTAGTTATAAGAAAAACCTGAGAGAAATTAACCTCCGATTCATGTTAGAGGTTATTTTTTTTCATCTATCTGATTCTCTAAGGAAGCTTCATTAAACATAGACGTTCGTTTTCTCTTAGAATTATAAAATAGCTCGTCTCCAACAACGTGTCTCATTTTTGAAACGATCCTTGTATAATAAATTTTAATTATTTAATAAATATCTAATATACAATGATTTAAAGAGATTTCGATTCACAGAGTTTTTATCATTTTAAAATTAACATAAAACTTAAACTTATAAATATTTCATTTAAATGTAATTATAAAATAACTGAGAGACCTTTGCATAATTACAATTTGGACAAAGAAAAAGAGCTGAATCAATCTAATTGATTCCTTAAAAATATATTCTTAAATTTATCGCTTTGAAAGATTGTATATTACATCGATTTTTTTAAATTGTTACGTATTATGAACATTTCTAATACTAATATTTGGTAGATAATATAAATGCATATTTATAATTATTTATCATATATAATTGTATGATTATATTAAGAATATATTCTTGATATAATTATTACATTAATGATATATTCTTAGTTCAATAATTTAAAAAAATATATGTGCAATATATATTATATATATATATATAAATTCACAATATAATATAAATTCTTTAAATTATTAAATATTATATACATTTTTAATATATAATTATCATATATTAAGGATATTTTAATATAATAGTTAAGTAAACATACGTAAATGTGTGTACATTTAATAACTTAGTTATTTATACTTAAAAAACTTCTAAGCACAATAAAATTTATTCCAAAAATGACAATAAGAAAAATATTTATTATAACGCAAGTACGCTTTGCTCATTCCTAGAAAGGACCGGAAGCAAGCCAGCATGCCGGAGCCTGTGAATCACCAGGTAAATGCTGCTCGTAAGACATTCCAAACTCTCTATCAGATCTCCAAGCTGCTGAACACGAATCTTGATCCAACTACCTTGAGCATCTGCGTCAGGCTATGTGAGAACGGGGTAAATCCACATGCTCTTGCAACTGTGGTAAAGGAACTTCAGCGAGAGGTCAAGGCAATGAACGACGGACAACTGGAGTCTTCCACCAGCAAGACTAACACGACCAAGTGAATACAAATTAATATGATGCTATTGTTACCTTCCCATACCCTTTACAGAATTTATCTTGCGTTATTCAAAAAATGTTCTCAAATATAGATAGTATACACAAGATATTTGATTTATTACATGAATAAACTAATAAACATACAATATAAACTTAACATTTGATATAAACAATTTGGTTCTTGTAAATAAGGTAGAAAAAGGAAATTTCTTGAAAGAATTTCTAGTATAAAAAATAGATAAATGGAAAAACGTTTCAGAAATTAATGCATGGAGCACATGAGATTACAACTCCTTTTTCGATCTCTTGGCACTAAGCTTTTTCATCGACTCATCGATTATAATGCTTTGTCCCTGGAAAGAGACAGATGTTATTTTATTTCTCACACAAGAAAGTTTACGAACGCCCTAAAATTTTGTCAATACATTATTACCTCTGGTAATGGTGGATAATATGACTGTCCATCGATCGTGATGAATGCTACTTCAGAATGCTGTAGTAAATAATTTTTACCCTCGATAGCGTGAGCTCCGTCATGGAACATGAATATGTAACGTTTATTTTCAATTGGATATCTGTACAGCAAACATTTTAAATTTTAACTAATCTTTATTCTTGGAATACTTTTAAAAGTGCCTGCATATATCTTGTAACAATGGTGTACCTTTCTATAGTGATATGATGGTTTTGTAGGCCAGTTTGCCAAATACGTGTCATGACGTCAGCTTGCTCCTCTGAGATGTTTGGCTGAAGATCTATGAACATCATAACACCTTTTCCTTTTTTTGTCACTTTTAACATACTCTCTGGATTTTTTATGTCTAGCTGCGATGAATCGTTAAAAAAAAAACGAATAAATTTGTATATTTGTGCATGTCCTTAATCTTCTACCAGCAACATGAATTTTTACTTTTCCTTGGCAACAAAAAGGTCTTCAAGAAACATATCAAACTTTTTATTGTACTAGATTATATAAAAATAAAAAAAATTCGTACACATTTGTCAAAATTTTAACAATTGTGTATACTTATCAAAACTTTAAAAAACGAGTTTTTTAATCACAGATGTTGAATTATATATATTTTTTACAGATTTAAATTTATCAAAATTTATTGTACAATAAAAAAATTGAATATGTCTTTAAAGTCACATTGCTAGCAGATGATTAAATAATGGTTTCAGAGATTTTCATGTGAAATAGTATATTACCTTGGATACATCTATTTTCGGAGCAGGTCGCAAGTGTTCTGGCAACTCGTCTGGCTCCAGGGGATCATCATTTGCCTAAGATATCACATTAATAAAAAATTTGTTTGCATTGCTTGTCTTATTGATATAACAGTCACACAGAGACAAAGAACAAATGTTTTATCTGAGAATTCAATGACTGAGAAAAGAATGGCCATACTTCCCACTGTTCCAGTAAACGTTCTGCTTCAGCGTCCGTCAAAAACATCATATCCTTGTCTTTCCACGATTTCGCTTTTTGCTTTTTAGTATCTGATGTGAACACCATCACAAAAAACGCAAACAGGCATAGAATAATCCTTGATTTCATTTTGCAAATGATGAAAAATCACGTTTTTACCACGATGATTTATTGTGATGTGCTATGAACATCACAGGTATGTTTCTAAAAATTCAAGAGAACCCTCTGTTCAAATCAAATTAACAGTTTCCATTTAATTTGAAATTTTCGTTCAATAATCGAAAATTGACTGAACATTCTGTGATATTCCAGTGTCACAGAATCAATCATATTAACAATTATAACAAGTATATTCCGACATTCTTCAAAATGTAACATAAGAATTTAGCTAAACACTACAATTCAAGCAGTTTAAATTTAACAATATATAAAAAAAAAATAAATACAAGTAGAGAAACGATCTATTACCTTCAGTCAAATCTTGTAATTCCACGATAATACATCGAATCAAACTCTATATTACCAGAACGCGCGAGCACTGCAACTCTGACCAGAAACCTGAGAGAGGACATGAAGGCCTTTTTTCTGTAACCGCAAATGTTGCTGCGCATTACTGCCCCCTGAAGAAGTAAATGTGAACTACCCTACAAATATACTTTTGCTGTGTTTCAAAATTTACTGTCAGACTATTCTAAAATTTACGTAACGTGCACTATATATTTTCAGTGTGGCAATAAATTTTGGAACACAGCCTCCTTTATAGCGCTTCGGACCAAGAAATGTATAAAGCCAGCCCTGTGTCCTGATGCTAGAAATCAGTCTAAAATTTCAAATGAAGAAAATTGACCAATCACATATTGGTCGCGTGACCAAATGCCTCCTGCTGAACGTAGCCAATATAATGGCTCCAGCAGCACACTGGACGTGGAAACGCTTGCCGCGCGGCAAAATCTGACGCGGTAGCCAATGAGCTTACAGCTCCTAACGTGTTCATTGGCTACCGTGTCACATTTTGCCGTGCCGCAAGCGTTTCCGCGTCCAGTGTGCTGGAGCCATGAATACGGTGCTCAAAGGACTGCGTTCGGAAACATCATCCGAATACTCCCATGCATCGTCTTATCCTTGTTCAACATGAATGAACAACAAGGATAAGACGATGCAGATAGGGAGCACTCGGGAAAGGTTTCCGAACGCAGTTCAGTGATGGCAACGACGGCGGATGATAGGTAGTATATATATATATATACATGGGTGCATGTAGAACTTCAAGTTCGGGTTAAATTTCGGACTTCAGAGAAGAATTCTGTTTTGCTTGTGTCCTGTGTTGTGCAATGTTATGTCGTTTGTTGTCACAAGTCTAACGAATGTTGCATGCCGGTCCAACACATCGCACTACTCTCAAAAAGGAAAAACAAAACGCGTCAGTTGTGCGCGTATTTATGTACACGAGCAAGTATGCATCCCGGCTATCCCGCTTTACCCTCTCATCTTGACTCGCGCTCGCGATCTCGAAATGAGCATAACCTCCAAATTCAAGTGCTGGTTTACGCAACGCACTTACAATTACAAGGGTACTTTTCTTAAGAGCGACGATCGCGGTTTCGTGAATTTACTCATTTAGAACGAGAAGCAATAAGTAGGAACGTAAATGACTGTTTGCCTTAACGACAGTGACGTTGTTTACCAGTAAAAGCTGTCATTAATTACGATCTTAATGACGTTAATTTTTACGTATGTATTGGTAAACACCTCGTAGTAATTATTAAAATGCTATCATCGTGTGTATCAGAATAGATGACTCCGTACATGAATTTTATTAAAATTTATTAATGTTTGAAGTATGTTATTATATAAACATGTGTATGTATATGTGTATACATGTGTGTATACATATATGCATATTGCATATGTAATAAGTTTGGAAGTTAATCATATTTATCACCTTCGAATCGATTATATATGCTTTGAAATCAGATGAACATTGACTTTGTTCAACAGAGAAAGTAACTTTGCAACTATTGTAAAATTCTTTAGTATGATTGATCTTGCCCTTATTTTCTCATCTAAATGTATAAACCAATCATACTGAAGAATTTTACAATAGTTGCAAAGCTGCTTTCTCTGCTGAAAACAGCCATTATAAAAGTGAACAAATTCATTAAATATTGACTAATAAAATTGTAGATATTTTAGAGGTTTGCTTACTTTTGTAATTTTAATTCCGTTTTAAAATACACAATAGACTCGTGTTTATGTTACTTGCATTTTTCATATTCTGTATTTGTTTTCTTTTTGAAGCTTTAATATATATAAATCTAATAATTATAATATATATTTATGTACAAAATTTTTTGAAAATTTCAAACAATCTACTGACAAAATATTTAAAACATCTGAATATACTGCTTTTAATTAATCATATGTTTAAGGTATAAATTAATTTAAATAATTAATCATTTATCACAATAGGATTATTTGTTTTAATTATATATATATATAATATATATAAAAAATATATATATAGTTATAAGTATATAAATTACATAAAGTATGCACATATACATAGGAAATTATATAAAAAATCAAGTATTTATGTGTGCATGCATGCGTGCGTACGTGTATACATATATATATATATATTGACATTTAATTAAAACATTTAATATACTTTTAACTAACGCACTTATTAATCTTAGTATATTTTTATAGATATTGACCATGATTATTCAACAACAATAGTCGAATTGAATTATCCTTGGGAATGTCTGTCACCAGTGAGCCAAATGATTATGGGGAAGTGATGTCCCAAGGAGTAATCAAGTCTATTTTTATGGAAAATGAACCAAAACCATATACGTCTTTATTAAACCATGAGAGTATTATGAAAAATCTGGTAAAGAATTAGATAGACTTGATACATTTTTATAGTTTTTTATAATTAAAGTAGTGTATATTTTTTGTACTTAAAGTAAAATAGGTATATATAAAATTCAATGAAAACAAAAAGTTTTAGAAAAACAAGTACAAGAAAAAAGTTTTTGTACAGCGTGGTTCAACAATAAAAAATAAATCTTTGAATTAAGATCAATCAATACCACTGTATTTACAAGATTTCCATCTATTTTTTGTAGACCATCAATGAAGAGATAATTGTGAGTACTAATGGGCATTTGTCAGACAAAGTTGATTGTCAAACCCAGCCTAGTGTGTACTTCGAAGAGAATTTGGAAACTTGCAACGATACACCTACCAGGTTTGAGGAATCCATAAATATGGGTCCATTGTCAGACGAATCGTCAATTACCAAAAAATTGGATTGTGAAAGTGTTGAGACACCTGTTTCAAAGGTACATATTCAAAAATCGGATACTTATTTTTGATGATTAATATTATTGTACTTCGCAGTTTTTGCACAGACAATGTAATAAAAGGACTTGAGCCAAACTAAATTTTAATCTTGTTAAACAGTAAATATTATCAAGATAACCATTGAAATTATCCCTTACCTATATTTTGATGGGCTTTGGATTTGTAGTGCATCATAAATATTACATCTATATATTTTTTTTATTTGTTTATCTCAAGGTTTAGACGTCGCGAAGCAACCTCTCAAAAATAATGGATTTTTCACTTTCAAAGAATATCTTTGAAACTATCAGGTATAAGAAAAAATATTTTATATAAAAGTTTTTATATTTTCAAAATTTTGGTATTTTATATTAATAATAACGGTATACATATTCGCTTTTTTCGAAAATGTCGAATTTTTTTAATTTACTGCTTATTTCTCAGGGTTGTTTCAACCCCTAAACTTTTAGATAAACAGATAAAAAATATGGGTCTGTTTTTTGATGCTCTACAATACTCAAGCTCATCAAAATCAGCGAGGGATAGTTCCAAGGATTCTCTTGTAAGTTACTAAAGAGTCATACCAAATGGTGAAAATGTTACAGTGATATGAAATATGTCATGTTTGTACGCAATTGTGATATTTATGTAAAATAAATGTTGTAAATTTATGTACACACATTTATGTAAAGTAAAAATTATTACATATATATAAATATATGTACATATATAATGTACAGGAAGACGAGTTCGAGGAGCAAGAAGATGACGAGGAAACGATTGCAACTTTTGTCACCGCAGCGGGACAACAGTTGGCTCTCTATGCCGTGGAAGATTCGGACGAGATATTTGCTGTAGCCGTTTATGATGAGTCCGATGAACCTCCGACTAACTTTCAGTTTCTTATGAAGTACGTCTTTGAGGAAAGCAAATTTACCCATTTTTTAGTTAAATTTTAGTTAAAAATTTTGGTTTTTAAAATCTAATCTTTAAATTTTAATTGAGAAAAAAATGGTTTCAATTAAGTGATGATTTAAATTGCAATTTCCCTGTCTTTTTACTTGGTTTTATATACGGATTATCAGAACTACAACTATGGCTGTAATTACAGATCAGATGTGGAACGTTTAATAGGCGAAGGTGCAGTACGAACGGTGAAAAAACCGTCGCAGATGAAAAAACGAGTATTTACTGCCAAACCGCCGATGCTTTGTCACAAGGAAGAAGTGAATGACAAGACTTCTATTTGCGACATATCGGTCAACAGTGAGAAGGATGTTGCACAGGAGGACAGCGACAGAATAGTACATAATTATGAAAATTACCAAAATTGTAGTGACAAGGTTAATTCAGAATCTAACGATAGTGTTCACACGACTGTCGACGAACAAGCAGATATCACGTATCTTATGATGAATGACAATTTTGTCGATATTGGTATGTATATGAGATTAAATAAATATTAATATAAAATGGTAGTAGTCGTCTTTTATAAAACGAAATGTATCAGAATCACCAATACATAAAAGTTATAAAATTAATTGAAATTAATTGTTCTGTAATTTAGCTATGTAATTTATTTTATAGAATTTTAATCTGCTTGAAAAAAAATATTGTTCGTGTATAATTGTAAAAGTCATCTGAAAAGTGACAATTTTAATTATATCTAATAAATGTTACTGTATTTGGTAAATACAATTATAAGCAATTAATGCGTAACATGATAACTTTCAAAGATAGTATTCTTTTCATATAATGTATAAAGAAATTTAGTTTTATTTAAAATATATTTTATTTATTTAACGTTTTTATTTAAGGTTTTATTTAAAATAACGTTTTTTATAAAAATTATTTTACGTTATACAATTAAATTTTATTATACAAGACTAACTTTTACTGTGATACTTTATCAAGTATCATAATATTTATTAATAGGTATTTATAAAAATATATAAGAGGTCTAAGGAATGCATTTTTTTTAGCCGAACAATCAGATGAATGTGAAGATAACGTCAAATTCGAGGAAGAATTGATCGAGTATTCCACAGTACAATACATCCTTCTAGAAGCTGATCAATCGGACTCAGAGTTAACGTTTGACGACATTCAGGCAACATTGCGGAATATGAAAATTTCTCGCGAGAAATTATTAGAAAAATCGGGCAAGTTGCAAGATGATCACTCAAGTCTTCAGCAAGACTCATGTGGGTCTTCGATAAAGGAAGAATCATCGTTTAGTGAAGACGCAGATGCATTTGAACTTTATATGTCGCCGCAGTCAACGATCGATCGAACATGCATTTCCGTCTCGGAGGACGATCGACAGCGATTAATTGACACGTTAACCGACTCGCCACCGTCAACAACTGATCTTACTTCGCAAATGCCACTAAAAGTCAAACGATCACGCAAGCAGCAATTGATCTTAGTGGATCGAGATGACGGAGAGATCATTATTCAGCCAGCGTCGATGATAAATGATGAATCGACCGGTAAGAAGCGTACAACTCGGCGACGTCGCTTGTCGTCGCAAATACGCGTCGCTATGGCTAACAGAAAAAGGATCAAGAGAACGAGGCGAATTAAGCGGCCGAAGCGACGAAAGGTGAATACATATAGAAATTAAAAAAACAAAGAATGAACGAGGAATAACGGTGTAATAATTAGTATCACAAAGATCTTTGAAAAAATATATTTATTCCATAATATTAAATTAGAAGTTCGATTTTCCGATGGATATAATTGTGGAGTAAATAAATATATTTTTCAAAGGAAATCTTTACGCACTATTTACCGTGCTGTTATATCTTCATTTGCCATTTAATTTGCCTTTTTACTTTAATACTGAGAGTCCTTTTATTTTTTGTTTAATCAGAATTGTTCTTGAAAAGTTCAACATTCCAATTTACAAATTAAATAATCTTAATCTGTCAAATTAATATTGTTAACTCTTTTTAATACTTATAAATAGTTCTATGATTATGCAATCAGAAGTTGCAAAATTAGATATATTGAAGCTATTTGAAGCTTTCTAGAGAGTAAAAGTCGACAAAAAATAATCTAAATACATTAACATCTTTAAGCATCAATAAATTTTTGTAGCGACAAGCTTTCTAATGACTTTTTAATGTGTCGAAAATTGCAGGTCGTAGAGGTGATCGATCTGGACATCGACGAGGAAGAGCAACAAACGTCGCGCAACGTGGTAGAGATCACTCTAGACGATAACAAGGACAAGTGTTCTAGCGACAAAGAGAACGAAATTATCATGGTAAAGGACTCGGATTCCAGTAGCAGTGATCACGAGGAAAATGAAAAGACTGAATGGGTCGGCGGCCATTTAACAAAGCTCAATAGCGAAATACGTTGCGAGTATTGTTCCAGGAACTTTCGATACCGACGTACTCTCAATATGCACCTTCTGGTGTGCCGAAAAAAAGCGCTAACGAACACTCTCAGTCTCGACGAAGAGAAACCGAAAGTAAAAACAAATAAAATTAAGAAGAAAATTAAAAAACAATTTACTTGCAAGATCTGTCAGGAGAAGTTTGACGCGGTCGTCGTCTTGGCGCGTCATGTTCGCTTAGTGCATGTACAGAAAAAGAAGAACGAATTGAGCCTTTCCTCAGAAAAGTATGCGAATCCATGTTTTTTTTTTACACATAAAATCACTTTTATATCATTTCATACAAATTCAATATTTAGCTTCTTTTCAATTTCTCGTCATTTATTCGACAGATCTTCGAATAAATCCTTGAGATCGATTCGAGATAAGGAAGCAATTTCAACAGAAGAGGAGGAATCGAATGATGAAGAAGACACGACAGAGAAAGAACTCAGTATGCTTGCTAGAGTGAAGAGAAAACGAAAACAAAAGAATTACTCGGATACGAAACAGCTCGATTGTGCAGAGTGCGGCCGGTGGTTCCCAAGTACTACTCTATTAAACGCGCATAGCTTGCAGCATGGCACTAAGAGATCAGGTATATCAAAAATATATATTAAAATCGAAATTAAAAGTTAACAAAATTATTCGAAAATAAACGTAATTTAGAAAATTTTAATATAAGACTGAGAAATATTATTTTATGTATTATTATAATTGAGGCTTTTTATTTTCTTGACATTGTATGTGCATGTTGTATTTATACGATGTATGTATTACTTAATATCTATGTATACGTTTATGTTTAATAAATTCAAAATTCATGTAATACTACATTGATACATATAAATTTTAATTGGCTCGTTTCTTAATATTAAATCTTAATATTAATTAAAAATTGAATTAAAATATTGCGGTCTCTGTAGGTGATGAACAACGAGTGAAATCTAAGAATCATGGTAGATCTGGAATCAGTACTTCGGCTTCTGTAACTGTTAACGAAAGTGTCGATATCGTTATATTGTCTTTGCGTAGACATTGTACATGAAAGAAAACCTGCGCAACGATAACATAACTATACCGAACTGAGTATAGATTCGGAGCACTGATTACAGTTGTTGTTTTGCTTGTAGAACAACTACGCAAGTGCCATATCTGCAAGAAGTACATAAAGTCCAGGTTACTATTTTTGCGACACTTGAGAATGCACAACGATACGCAACACACTTCTGGTAGTTCATCCAAGATAATGCAACGGAAGCTGCGCGCTCGGCCGAGCACGCATAAAATCGCATCTCCCCGAAAACGGGGCCGGCCGAGGAAGTTTTGATCTTTTTTGCCGTTTCTAACATGTATGATAATATATTAATACCGCCGTTGTCACTCGGAGTTTATTAATGTTTTTCCTTTTTCAAAATGATTATTCAAAATAACGTCTCTTTTATTATTAAGATGTTAGCTTGAATACAAGTATCAAGTAATGTCATATTTACATATCTCCACAAATAACTCGACAAATATATAAATTTTTATTCTTTTTGTTTTTAATGAATGATTTTATGAAATCACAAGAATGTCTTGTGATTGTACTTTGCGATGAATAAAATTATCTTTTAAATCTTAAACTTCAAAATTTCAAAATCATTTATTGAAGAATCAAAAGATCTCAACTTCAATATTGCTTTATTAAAAAAATTTAAAAAATTATATTATTGGTGAGATGTAGGTTAAAAAAATTTCTTTTTGATAATATTCTCATAAAAAAATTAATTTTTATTTTCTATATAAAGATTTCTACCTATAATCCGTTACTCCGAGGGACTTACAGACACTCCAAGATCTCATTGATCTCTTGGTAACATCCGTAAAGTGCCCCAGCGGATTTTTGTAAATAAAAACCGACATGATAGGTTTGTTAGAAGTTTGACAATGCAATTTACATATATATAATATATATAATTTATATATATATAAATTGCATAATATAATATATATATATATATATATTATATACATATATATACACTAATTAGGAAAAATACGCTGGTAAAATCTAAGGCCGTGTGTATAAATAATATGATATCATTGTATTGACTTTTGTCTAATGCAATAAAATGATGAAACAAGGCTGTGGATCATAGATCCTGAAACAAGTCTATTCTTTTCAATTTACAAATATATGTTACATATTTCTTTTCTGCACTTAAAGTATGCAAAACGAAAATTAAAATTATTTTTTATCAATATATTATAATATTTCGACTAGAAAATATTTTTTTCCAAAATATTTCGATAATCAGGAGATACGGTAGTGTCTCGGTGCTAATTAAATATACAATGAGGACAATAAGACGGATATTTTGTGTGAAATTAATTTTTTTTCTTGCTTAGTGTCAGATTATAGATACGGAAAGAAGAAACATGAAACATGTTACAAGAAGTACAAAATGTACAACTAAAAAGAAAATATATACTGCTTAAGTATAGCGTTGAATGCATCAAGAGATTGAAAGAAATTAAATAAATGTTCAAAAAGTACATTTATTATGTTTAGTATAATATAAAAAACAGTCACTTTGAGAATATCTGTAATACGCTTTTTAACAGAGTCTGTTGACATGATATTATAAATGCGTTAAAACATTTTTTTACTAGCTAACATTTTTTTTTCTAATAGTCGCTAAAATGTTTTAAAGTATTTGTAAAAAGTCGATATCCTAAAAAATGTATACAGACTGTAGAATTTAACTTATTTTATTTCCTAAAAAATGCAAATCCTTTTTCAACAAAATTCATCATTATGTTTTATTTTTGCCCTTTTCCAGGTTATTCTTTCTTCGTAAAATCGAATAACAATCTGAGGACATTTAACATTGGCTTCACTAGCAGGTACTATGTCAATTACATCTGTTCCTTTCCTGTGTACAAACAAAATTATTTTTATTCATCAGTCAGCTTCAATTGTTTTTAAATTATTTCTATTAATTTGAATTCTTTAATATTAAACTATTATTCAGCCCTCTAATGCGGACATCTTACCAATTCGAGACATATGACACTAATCGCGACAGTACATACCATTGCATCAAGTACATCAGTTTTCCATTGTCATCCGCTGTGCCAAGGATTTTATCTGCTTCCAAATTTCTTTGGAATCCCTGTACTCTGCTGTCATCTTTCATCATTTCATCATACAACTCTGTTTTAATTTCAATCTCCTCATCAGAATTTATTTTTATCTTGCCTATACAACACAAAAAAAATTAGTGTCACTAAATATAAAAGAAGATATATAAATTAATTTATTATTTCTTCTCTCTCTCTTAATTCATATATCGTAAGGATATGTGAGAAAAGATTAAAACTAAAATTGAAAACATATGATATAAAAATAATTAATATTATTGGGAATTTAAGAATAAAAATAAAGAAATTAACTAGGAAAGTACAATACCGACCAATCTAAGATTTTTTAACGTAACTTGGCTCAGTCAAAACAAAACTTAAAGTTGAAAAATATTAATTAAATAGAACTTAAAAGAGAAAATTATTTTACCTAATTATAACAATCGATAATTAGCAAAAATTAAGTTATAATTTGTTGTTGACGTGAAATTGTCGTCCAATACCCTAATCAGTTATAATATTTATGAGATAAATTTTTAGACCTAATTAATTAAAACAACAAAAATATCCATTGTCATCAATTTTTAAGATTTATTTATTAGATAGATCTCTGAACAATTCCTTGAGATCGGTTCAATAAACGAATTCAATAGAAAAGAAGAAATAGAATGACAAGAACAGTACGATAGGGAATAAACTCGGCATGTCCGTCAGAGTGAAGAAAAAATCAAAACAAAGGAATAATTACTCGAAGACAAAGAAGCTTGACTGCACGGACTGTAAACGGTGGACTCCAAGTACTCTGCTGGACGTGCACAGCTTGTAGTATCGCACTAAAAAATGAATAATCACTTTTGCATGAAAGTCAATCTTTAAATTTCAAATGTGTTTTTCTGGAAATGACGTTTTCAAAATTATATCAAATCTTATTGGATCGTGAGAGTAAACTGAATACCGATGAGAACATGCCGGTCAAGCTCTGGATCTTGAATGCTTCAAATTTCTAATTTCGGCGCGCATTTAGGAATCTACATACGTAGTATGTAAATATTCACACGAAATTATAAATTAGAAACATCTAAAATCCAGCTTGACCGTTACGGCATGTTCTCATCGGTATTTAATTTTCAAAGTTGGTGAATAGTATATCAGTACAAAGAACTAATTATGCAATCGAGTTCAAATTTGAAGGTTTTGTAAAACATAATTCCATCGGGATTCACTGTATTAGAAATAATTTAATGAGTAATTAAATTTCTTAAGGTAGTACTTGCATAAAATAATTTTCTTATGAATGAGCTAAATTTTTAAATACAAGTTGAAATGCTCTTTATGTACAGTCTAGTATAGTTTTTGAAATAATTGCAATTATAAAATTGCAGTTTTAACATATAATGCAACTCAAGTTAACATCAGATTTTTAATTATAGCATCCATACTATGCTTAGGATTTGTTATAAAAAACGAGTATGTTATAGAAAGAAATATATAATTGTTATAAAAGTTTATAACATTTTTCGCAATGAGAATTAATTATTTATAAACTTTAATATGTCATTCAACACATTCAATCCAGGATCCTCGCCCGGTGACCACTGACTTAGTTTTTTACATACATAATATGCTGGATCAAGTAACGCGGTGACATACCCTTGTGATATACTCCCTATCCCATGACGTTATTTCCGTGTCGTCATTCCCCTCGTCCACACTCGTGACGTTCATACTCCTCCTCTCCCCGGTAATGTCGCCTCCCTCGCACCAAGGAATCCCCTGTCCCTCACCCCTTCCCTCAAAGAAACAGAGAACCGACCTATATTACTCTACTGTTTTATTTCTCTAAACTATATTTTTTCTGAAATCTTAACTATTAAAGTAATTAGAGAATTCAGAAAAGTTCAATAATTAGATGCATTGAGTACTATCACTGTAATAAGTTTTAAGATGTAATATATTGGCTAATCAAAGCTAAATCTGAAGAGAATAACTGACTATAAATTTTGGTAGATTTTTTACGACTTAAACTTACTACACCTATTGTCTCGAAACTTACCAACTCATTATCTTCAGGATGCTTGACTGATTGTTTCTCCGTAAGTGATGCTAGGTTGATGTCTTCTTCTTGAGAAACAGAGCGATTTTGAGGGAAAATGCCTGTAGCTTTAAACGCGTTAATTGCTTTGTCAACAGAAGCAGTCTTGTGATAAGCTGAGCAAAAAATCTCTCCTATTCGATGAATTATCCGATGACGTGGATGTTGTGATATCCATTGATCACACTCTTCTGCTATGAACTTTTTCAGTGATCCGAAAAGAGCTACTTCAAGTGGTTGTAATTTGTAGCAAGCGTATGGAGGTAAAGATAACAAAATGATGCCATTTTCTTGACAGTAATCAACTGCTGGCACACTGCTGTGGGATATATGATTGTCCAGTATAAGTAACACTGGTCTATCTTGAGATGCTGTCACATATTTTGTCAAGTGTTTCAACCAGGTTACGAATAGCTCTGAATTTATGGATCCAGAATCAGATACCATACCTAAAGTATTTGGTGGTGCCTTGTTACAAAATTCTGGTTTATACTTTTTTCGAGGAAAGATTAGAGCAGGTGGAACATAATAGCCAGCAGCACTCATACAGCACACTGCAGTTACTGTCTCTATATGACTTTGAGACACTACTTTAGATACTCTGCCTTTACGTTTAGATGACACAATTTTTGGAAATTTATTAGAAATAGTTAATACAATACTTTCATCCATACTATAGATATGACTAGCATTAAGTTTAGGATTTTCTTCTAGAATCTTTTTTAGATTGTCATGGAATTTTTTAAAATGAAACTTGTTGAATCTAAAGGCAAGTTCTGGATACTTTGGTGGCCGTTGTAAAGTTAATCTATATTTATTACAAAAGTCTCTGATCCATTTTTCTCCTACCATTTTTTTTTCAGGATTGAAATTATGGGAAATAATGTTCTGTTCAGCATATTGATACACAATTGCCATTAATTGCTTTCTTGACACTCCATAAAATACATTATTTATGATTTTCACCCGTTCTACTAAAGCTTTCTCATCTTCTATTGACAAGCTTGATTTGAATCTACCTAAATTTATTGTTACTGTGCCCTGCAAAAAAATAATATAAAACTTAATTTAAATAACCTAATCTAATTGCAAAAACAAAAATAATTAATAATTTAGTAATAGGTAATCTACGAAAGACTGTAGTAATCTACGAAAATGACTCACTTCTTTTAATCTCTTTCGTAATGTTGATTCGCTTGTTCCCACAAATCGAGCTGCAACTTTTATAGTATAGCCTGCAGCAATATGTTCTTTAGCTTTTGTCATCTGTTCCCAACTGAATGGCTTTCTATTAGTTTTCCGTTTATATCTTGTTAACATCGTGGCTAAATTATTAAAATATTACAAATAGTTGGTGTTTGCTGAATTGAGAAGTCTATCCTTTTTCAGAGACAGTTCTGAACTAATGTACAAATTAACATTAGTGTAGTAAATGCTATATAATAGCATTTTCAATTTACTTATTTAACTATAGATTTCAAATCTATGATCTGATCCTTTTAGCTGCATTTCTTGCAGTTCTCAACTCTTCTTTTACAGTTGTTGCCTACAATTGTTGTAAGCGTAAGTTGTAAGTGAATTGATCAATCAAGTCGATTACGTAAAGAATATTCTATTTTAATTAGATAATTCTTACATATAACTGTTTTTTCGATATTTATACAGAATACAGTAAGATTCTTCGATTTTCATGAAATTAGATTTATTCGACGCGTTTTTGCATAAAACGAAAGAATCTGGTAGAAATAAGCGTCGCTCCGTCCCACAAACTGAGATATTAAGCGTTAAAGTTGACGATTATTGAGGTTAGCAAATCTGTCACAGCTCTACATCACTATGGCTGCGTCGCTGCGTTCCGTTTCACACATATGCGCCTAATATCCCCTATAGGATACATGCGATACATGACGCTTAAAATGCGCGCATATGCCTGGAAACGGAACGCAGCTTCGATCTCATGCGCATGCGTTTCGTTACTTCACAGGCACGAAATGTATGAAATTTAAAATGGGTTTGAAAGCAACTTCTAGGCGGTTAGGCCCCAAGCAGGTAGGTTATATTTTTTTTTTTTTCTTGTAAAAATGAAGGATTCTACAAGAAAAAAAGTGTCGTTCTGCTTCGTCAAAAGAAATATTTTAAATTAAAGTTGACGATTATCCAAGTTAGGAAATCTGTCACAGCAGAGAGAAACCTGAAAGAGGCCATCCCGGACTTTTTCCTGTAACCGTCGCCCGTACACTGCCGCCAGTATGTGCAACAATGTGCAATTTCGGTTTGGAAACTATGTGGCGACGTCAATTTTCTGACCCTATTGATAAAATCGTAAACATTTTTTTGTATGAGAGAAAAATTCTAACTTCAGTTGGATCCTGCGAAGTTACTAAGTCTGTTAATCCGAACTGATCGTAATCGATTATTCTCCTCATATTCGATTACTATTAATCAATTTTTATGATTTACGGTCATTGTAAAATAGGCTCAAGATTTAGACAGATTTTATTATTGAGTCCATGTTCAGTGATACACCAATAACGCTTACTCAACCGTTGAGTCCGCTGAATGCGTCCATTGAAAAATGAGCTGAGCAATTAGAGCGATGCTTTTTTTCTGTAAGATTCTTTCGTTTCGTGCAAAAATATATTGATTTAATGTATTTTTATTAAAATTTGAGGTGGAGAGAGCTCTTAACATTTACCAATTCAGCCAATAAAACTCTCCAGGGTTACGTTCAGAATCATCATCTGAGTGCACCCAAGTGTCGTGTTGTTTGTCATTTGTGAACAACAAGGATAAAACAACATCCGGACAACAATTCTGAATACATCCCGGTAATCGAAATATACATTCTATTAGCGGAATTTTAAAATTTTCAGAAGTTTTAAATAAGTAACTTTAGTATTTTGATTTCTCCGTGGAAAAGACGATAGCAATAGAATATATGGATCTCAGCGTGAAGTGCGAGAAAGCGTAAATATTACTCATGTCAGTAATCCTCCAGGAGAGACTAACATTGGCATTTCGGATAAGTTTTCTTTCTCTATAAATTACATGAATTGTATTAAATAAAAAAACAATTGCTTTGTGGATTTTTATTACATTTTGCAGGTATTAAAGTTTAACACATTAAGAATATCTATAATACATTTTATATATAGAATTAACGTAATACTATACATTAAAATCTAGTTTTGTCAAGGAAGTTTATTTATTACGGTCTTATTTTTGCTCTTTTCCAAGTTATTCTCTCCTCATAAAATCGGATAACAATCTGAGGACATTTGACATTGGCTTCACTGGCAGGTACCATGTCAACTATATCTGTTCCTTTCCTGCGCAAACAAAATTATTTTTATTCACATCAGTCAACTTCAATTATTCTTTCATTATTCACATTAACTTGAATTCTTTATTAGTATTTTCTAAATATGCATCAAGTGCTAAAAATTATGTTGATATATACATTAACACAAATGAATAAAAGTCATTCAATGAAAATAGGTCTTGGTACTTATATATAATAATATTTTTGTGCTAGTTCAAACAAATAACGCGCCGATCAAGTGCAGGTTTTGATACAAAGTTGTAAACTGAGACTGGATTATATAACTTTACAAATTATATGACAATTTAATATTAATAATGTGAATGAACGAACATCTTTAAATAATGTAAAGATAGATTGTAAAAAACATTTCTGCCAGAATTTTAATTTGGATTTTTCTCTGTGCGGACATCTTACCAATATGACCGCCAAGACATGTGATGATATTAATCGCAATAATCATTAGGATGTATTACTTACCATTGCATCAAGTACATTAGTTTTCCATTGTCATCTGCCGAGCCAAGAATTTTATCTACTTCCAATTCTCTTTTGAATCCTTGTATTGAATTGTCATCTTTCATCGTCTCATCAACACACATCAATTCTGTTTTGTCTGTAATATTGTTATAAGAATTTATCTCGGCTCTACCTATATAAAACAATAATAATGTTAAGAAGAATGCATGAGAATTTATACAAGACGAATAAAAAGTAATACTTCACGCTCAAAAAAAGCATTATTGGGAAAAAATGATTCAAATAAAAGTCATAGAGAGGATCTAAAAAGATCTATTTACTGGTTATATCTGTTTGACCTTGTGTGGCATGTGACTAAGATTTAGGCCACATCCATTTTTTTAATGGGACACTATTTTTAATAGCTGATGTCAAAAATTTTTTTAAATGTTATAAAGTTCATTTTTATTAAGTAAGATTAAGAAGTTAATTCTGGAACTGTCTCTATTATTCAAAAAGATATTTTTTAAAAAACAATTTTTAAGAAATAATACATAGGTAAAGATACTTTAGTAACACATGATTAGTCGATCATTATATGCTACAACATTCGTTACATAGAGAAAATAATAAACCTGTTACATTGTCCGTTTCCTCTGTAGATACATCTATTGCATGGGGCCGTTCTGAAATTAAACTCGGGAGAAAATCATCGCTGAATGCATGTAAGTTAAAAGGGAAAATGCCAGTCTTTCTAAAGGCATTAATGATATTATTTGGTGTCATAGCACATGGCAGGGATGTGCCGACAAATCCAGCTACTTCATGAATTGATACAATTTTCCCTGGATGACTCAACATCCATGAATCGATAGCAGCATTGTAAAACTTTTGAAATGAACTGTATAGGCCAACATCAAGGGGCTGCATTCGATGTGTTGAATGCGAAGGTAGTGTCAAAATGTGAACACCATTTGCTTTTGCTAACTCGAAGATCTCTAAACTTAAGTGACTCTTATGGTTATCATAAATCAAAAGTGATGGGTTATCCTTTGTACTGTGTGAAAATTTTATAAAATGTTGCATTGCTTGAACAAAGAGTTGAGTAGTCATCCGGCCTGATGGAGTGGCTAGACCCAAAGAGTTATGTGGAGCACCAATCATGTGATTGTGGAAATTGACTCGAGGAAATATCAGAACTGGTGGTAAATAATTTCCATCAGCACAGATGCATGTTATAACAAGAACTTCTTTTTCCGTATTTATTACTTTACATAAAGCATTGGAACTTTTCTCAGCTATTATGTTTCCACTATTTTGAATTGTTGTAGTTTTAGTTTCATTTAAATTATAAATTCTTGATGGATCTCCAAGTCGCGGCTCTTTCTTCAATAACGTTCGATAGTTATCGAAAAAGGCCTTTACATTATGACGATTAAATGCTGTAGCTCGACTCAAATTATATCCTTCTGGAGATCGAAGTGACAAATTTTGGTGTCTTTTAAAAAATCCTGACAACCAGTCTTTACCGGCTATTTCTTTCTCAACCCACGACGCAGGACACTTAATTTCATTAGCAACAGCAATTTCGTATGCTAGTTGACAGCAGTCTTTTGTTGTCAATCCATAGAACATTTTGCAGTACATTTTTAAATAATCAGCAATTGAATTTTCTTGAACGTTAGTAAAAACTTTATGGCTGAAGGTTGATGTAAGTTCGACTTCTCCATTATGTGGTGTTAAAATTTTAATCTTGCGTCTCAGAGTTTCTCTTTTAACACCACATTGATCAGCTACTGATTGGATGCTACCTCCTTTAGCAACCAAATCAATTGCTTTTTTCATATCCGTTTCCTCGTATGTACCCTTAGACGACTTTCTTTTATAATTTCTAACCATTTTTATCGTGTTTTCTGAAAGAATATAAAAAAATTATATTGCTCAATTTCATCACAAAAACTTAACCTAATCTAAACCGTTGAGAACGTATCCAGACAAAATTTGTATAGTTCGTACATAACTATATGTATAAAGAGATTTATCTAATTACATTTTTATCATAAAGACACGCATAAAATATGATTACATAACTTTTTATGCATATACAGTCCTACAGTTACACAAATTATTCTAAACGTCTGTTAGTATATGACCCATGGTGCTCCCCCCGATGTGTCTAACATAAACAATGGTGAAATATAACATGGAAGTAAACAATAAATGATCACCTATACTGCAAAGAAAATGCGAAATGTGTAGAGTCACGTATGTAACTCGTAATAAATATATTATACTTTACAGAAACAAATAATCACTTTCGCATCACGAGATTCTTTAACAGCATGTGTACAATTCGCGCAATTAATGCCTTCCAACTCTGTTTTGGCATTACGTGTTACCTTCTCGGTTATTTTCATGTTAATGGCTGTAATAGACGGACCAGCCAGCAGAATTGCGCGAATTTTTCCAACCTCTATAGGTTCCGTGTTTGTGACATCTCGAATGTGTGTGTTTAAAGTTTCATTGATAGTCGTAAACTTCGCTTCAAAATATATTTACATAACCAAATTTTTTATTATTTACTGCTCATAATTTATCAGATAAGTCGCCATTCTTCCTTCTTATATTTATTTAAACCTCTATAAAATTAAGAAAAAATATCTTTGTGCATTCTTTTCTTTTGCAGAAGGAAGCAAACAAGGAAAAATTTTCAACAACTTGAATCTTTTAAGACTTTGACGGAAGAGGTTAATTGTAATGAACGGGTATCCTTTACATAGTATAATCCAAACAATATATATATTAAGAATAATAAACAATTTTAATCACTAATTTCTAGATTACAATATTTACAATTAATATTTAATCCAATAGCCATCCTTTTCAATCACTCGTTGCAAACGACTGTTCGTGGAGTTCACCAGATTGTGGAAAATTTGTGACCTCTCCCGAAGACTGTTCCAAATTGCATATACATGATCGCTACCCAGATAGCCAAGCAAGATTTAGCATATGGGACAAATTGATGCACTGCGTGTATTGTTTTCAACTTGTGGACAATTTGCTGTCATTGAAATCTAATTGAAACTGAGTTAGCATCAGGAGGGCAAATAGACTTCATGAGTTTATGAAATTGTAAGAGTATATATTGAGAAATAATAAACTCGTCACGTCGACAGCAAACTGACAGCACACCTTGAACGTAGTGAGCATTCATGATGACAACTTGCCAACAGATTGCTGAATTCTAAGGAAAACTTTACATAACGTCAGGACAACAGACAGTTTGTGGAAACACCTTGGCTTTAGTTTGGTGAAATTCAATGCGAAATAAGTGACAGCAAATTGGCAACATATTGTCCTCATTTGGCTATCTGGGTAATGACCCATACATTTTCGAGTGGATTGTCTTCGGGAGAGCCCACAAATTTTTCACAATCTGGTGAACTCTATAAACAGTTGTTTGCAATGTGTGATTGAAAAGAATGGCTATTGGATTGAATATTAAATGTAAATATTGTAATCTTTAATTGTAAATATTGTAATGTAGAAACTAGTAATTGAAATTGTTTATTATTGTTAATATTATATACATATTGTTTGGATTCTATCATATGTAAAGGATACCCATTTATAATATTGTCCTCTTCAGCCAAAATCTTAAAAGACTTAAATTATTCTTGTTGAAAATTTCTTCTTGTTCGTTTCCATTTGTAAAAGAAGAAAAATGCACAAAGATATTTTTCCTTAATCTTATATAAAAATTTAAATAAATATAAAAAGACAAAATGCAAATGATAAATATTGTAATAAACTGATCTGATAAAATTATAAGCCGTAAATAATTAAAAATTTGTTTACATTAAAAATGCACAAAGATTTTTTTCCATAATTTTTTATAGAGTTTTAAATAAATACAAAAAAGAAGAATAGTAACTTATCTGATAAATTATGTGTCGTAAATAATTGAAAATTTGGTTATGTAAATATATTTTTAAACGAAATTTACGACTGTCAACAGTGTCAATAAAACTTTAATCACACACATTCGAGGTGTCACGAACACGGGCTATAAGGTTGAAGAAATTCGCGCAATTTCGCCGGCTGATTACGATTTATCTACTATAGCCATGAATATGAAAACGACCGAGAAAGTAAACGCGATGCTTCAACAGTGAATGTGACGTCATAGGGTTGGAAGGCATTAATTGCGCGAACTGTACATCTGGAAAGATAACGGAAGTGTATCACTGCCATCTAGATACATAGGCTGTGTTCGGAAATGCACTGCCAGTACTGAATATCTATAGTATACGTAACGTGAACTATAGATTTTCAGTACTGGCAGTGCATTTCCGAACACGGCCATAATATGGGCAACTAAATAACAATCAGACGATACCATTTATACCAACCTAAACATTCTGAATTTCTCTAAACAGTCAATGGGCGAGTTCAAGACGGCAAAGCGGCTAGGTACGCTTGCCGAGCGATTCAACATAATTGGTTATTACTTATAGATCCAACCAATCATATTTGATCGCTCGGCAAGCGTACTTAGCCGCTTTGTCGTCTTGAACTTGCCCAATGACCTATAGTACCCTGTGACCCATGGATCCGATCTCCCCTACTTTTCAAGTTATGAGGATTGAAAACTATGTTATGAGGAGTACAACCTATGTTAGAATTACTCGAGGCATCTGATCGACGACTAAAAACTCTTGAATATTATTCAGGATCATATTAACCTGAATATTATTCAGGATCATATTATTAAAGATGAAAATAAGATGAACAACATCCTCAAATCGCGTTGATTTTAACAAATGTCTAGGGCATAACTCTAAACAACATTCAAAAGGTTTCAATTGTCGGTCAATAGAAAAAAATAATCGAAAAAATGAATTCTATACTACATACATTTAATTGTCTAAGATTGAGTTAAGCGCGGTTAGTGGATTGCATAATTTAATCTTCTGATATTGTTCCTTGATTCTTAATTTATACCGTTTTGATTCTTCTTCGAGTTGTCATTAGATATGTATATGTTAGAATAAACGTTTTTACATTTTATATATTTATACGCGTTATTACAAACGTTATTATAAATAATAATCCTGTATTACACAAATTCTTCTATTGAACGTTTCTTTATTAAATTTTAGTACGTTTTTGAGATTGCGAATTAAAAATCTTAGTTAAAATTTAAAATAAGACAGTCACATTGAGAATATCTATAATACATTTTATATAGAGCACAGTTAACGTAATACTATACATAGATACTAAAACAGTTTTTAAAGGCTAATAAAATTCCTTTTTCCATAAAAAATGCTTTAAAACATTTGTAATGAAACTTTAACCTTATCCATAGATCACAATAAAAATCAATTTTCTAAAAAATTAAAATCTAGTTTTGTCAAGGTTTATTTATTACGGTCTTATTTTTACTCTTTTCCAAGTTATTCTCTTCTCATAAAATCGGATAACAATCTGAGGACATTTGACATTGGCTTCACTGGCAGGTACCATGTCAACTATATCTGTTCCTTTCCTGCGCAAACAAAATTATTCTTATTCATCAGTCAACTTCAATCATTTTTTAATTATTCGCATTAACTTGAATTCTTCATTTATATTTTCTAAATATGCATTAAGTATTAGAACTTGCGTTGATATATACTGTATATACATTAACACAAATGAATAAAAGTCACATTTAATGAAGACAGGTTTTGGTGCCTATATATAATATTTTTGTGCAATTTTTTCAATTTTCAGTTCAAATAACGCGGTCATCAAGTGTAGATTTTGATACAAAATTGTAAATTGAGACTGGATTATATAATTTTACAAATTATATTGATAATTTAATATTAATAATGTGAATGAACATCTTTAAATAATATAAACATAGATTGTAAAAAAACATCTCTGCTAGAATTTTAATTTGGATTTTCCTCTGTGCGGACATCTTACCAATATGACCGCCAAGACATGTGATAATATTAATCGCAATAATCATTAGCACATATTACTTACCACTGCATCAAGTACATTAGGTTTCCATTGTCATCCGCCGAGCCAAGAATCTTATCTGCTTCCAATTCTCTTTTGAATCCTTGTATTGTATTGTCATCTTTCATCGTTTCATCAACACACATCAATTCTGTTTCGACTCTAATATTGTTATAAGAATTTATCTCGGCCCTACCTATATAAAACAATAATAATGTTAAGAAGAACGGATGAGAATTTATACAAGATGAGTAAAAAGTAATACTTCACGGACCGGTAAAGTATAAAAAACAAAGCATTTTTGGTATATTTTTAACATTTTCTCAGCATTTTCAGGTTGCCAGTAAAGAGATAAAGCCTGCTTCGAAACGAGCGTAGGTAGTACCTATTTTGAAAATCATTTATTCTAACACAATTCAAGCAACAACGGGTACTTTGCTTATAATGCATGCAACACAAAGGTGATACCTATCGGTGAAAACAAAAATTCAGAGTATATCTTTACTCGACTGTGGGTAAAGCGGGGAGCACAGACTTTTGCATAACGCATAAACCATATACATAAAGAATTTGATTGGTCCATTGACTCATGCATAAGAAAATGGGCCAATGAAATTCCTTATGCACATGCTTTATGCGTTATGCAAAAGTCTGTGCTCCCCGCTTAAGACTTGCTACGCTCTTACTAGACAGACTGTAGTGAAAAGTATGCCTCGGAGGTGCCAGTCTATTATAGACGCAGCTGGTGACTGGACTCATTAATATAATTGTATTTTGGCCATAATCCTACTAAATACAATCAATATAAATTTAAGACTAATAAGCCATTTTTCTTTGAGATAGGCCTGCCACGCTCTTACTAGACAGACTGTATATAAAACAGGCGTTATTATTATAAGAATAATTTTTTTTGGTGGTTTGATTCCCGGTCGATATAATATGTATCGTAATAAGATTATTTTACAGATTTTAATGCTATTCAACATTATTAAGATGCCATCAAATTATTAAATTGCTATGCAATTTAATTTGTGATGTTAAAATTACAATTCAATCAGGTTTGCGTTTCATGGCCGAAAAATCAATGCGGTACGTAATTTAAAACTACATAGACAGTACATAAATTCACATAATATTACTTATAAGTATTTAAGATCTAGTTGACCATTAAAAGTTTTCTTTCTTGTTTACTTACTTTTTTTTATATTTTGAATAATTTTTCAGGTATAACGAAAAAACAGTTGAAAATTGCTTTACACACTAATTTTACCTCTAAAACCGTTTTTAAGCAACCAATTTTCTGAATTCATCTAGGTACAAGGTATGTATATCGGAAAATCGCCCGCAGTATTTTTGAGAAATGATTCGTGATTCAAAAAGAAGAAAAAAAGCTATTTAAACATAGATCCGGAAATAAGTCGTTTTCGAGTTATAGCCACTTTTATGTTAAAAAAAAATCGTAATTTATTTTTCGTCTGTCAATTCTGTGCGCTCCATTCGATTTTTAAGATATTTCTTCTTTCGATAAGGTATTTATTTTAATTATTATACATAGCAACAAACGTGTTTTTAACTTCACTATTATTTGATTTATAATGCGACAATTTTTAGATAATATTGGTTATTGTAACACCGTTTTTTATCACAACATATCTGACTAACTAACAAATTTTAAACAATGGACAAACATAATTTTTATCCGACGACTTCGATGATTGACTACAATTTTTTCAAGTATCCGGACATAATGTTTAAGAATTTTTTATTGTAAAAATTTCGTTAATATTCGAAATTTTGTTAACATTGAAAATGACCCGATCGGTGTTGAAACGTTTGTTTTAATATTTATATTTAATAAATGATGATTTAATAAATTATGATTTTTTTTAACATAAAAGTGGCTGTAACTCGAAAACGACTTATTGCCAGATATACGAGGTGTATACAAAAAAGTTCGTTTATTCGGTTTACTAAAAATTGAAATTACATTATTCTATAACGGGGATGTGGTCACCTTCGAAGTACTCTCCCCTTGACAGAATGCACTTGGTCCAACGCTTCTTTCATTCCTGAAAGCAGTGCTGTATGTCTTCCTTTATCAGTCCCTTTAGGAGCTTCGTCGTTTCTCGCTTTATGATATCAACATCCACAAAATGTTCACTCCGCATCATATTTTTTACTTTAGGGAATAGGTAAAAGTCACAGGGTGCTATATCAGGTGAATAGGAAGGGTGGTCCATGGTAGCGATATTATTTTTGGCCAAAAACTCGCGCGTAACGAACGCGGTGTGCGAAGGTGCATTGTCCTGATGCAGTATCCATGCGTTCTTAGCCCACAATTCGGTTCGTGTACGTCGCACACGTTCACGCAGACGCTTTAAGACTTCAACATAGAATTTTGCATTAACAGATTCATCTTCTGGAACATATTCATGATGAACAATTCCATGAATATCGAAGAAAACTATGAGCATGGTCTTGATTTTTGAACGACTCTTGCGCGCTTCTTTAATGCGAGGCGAATCATGATGCTTCCACTCTTCACTCTGCCTTTTTGTTTCAGGATTATACTCACAAATCCAGAATTCGTTTCCCGTTATCACCCTTTTGAGAAAATTTGAATCCTGGACATTTTCGATCCAGTTATTGCAACAGTCAACACGTCTTTGTTTTTGCTCGTCAGTCAAAACTTTCGGAACAATTTTTGCGCACAGCTTCCGCATGTTCAAATCTTCTTTTAAAATTGTATGAACACTACCGATACTTATTCCAAGTTTTTCTGCAATCATTCTAATGATAATTCGACGGTCGGCCTTCACCAAATCGTGAACACGTTGAATGTTCTCATCGATACGTGACATTGAAGGGTGTCTCGCTCGTGCATCGTCATTGACGTTCTCCCTTCCCTTCTTGAACCGGTCCACCCATTTATACACAGTTGTACGCTTAATGACAGATTCACCATACACCATTTTCAACATTTGAAGAATTTCCTGGCCGTTCTTGTTAAGTTTTATGAGAAATTTAATGTTGGTTCTTTGCTCAGTTAAAACGTCTCGCTCCATTCCGTCAACACGACCAAAAGTACGTTAATAAAAACAAACACGAAAAGCAAAGATCTCATTTGACCGTGACTTTTAATAAGGACACGTGACGCTTCCCCCGAGAGGTTGCACCACTGTACAAGCTTAAGCGTCACCACATTAGCAGAATAAAATTCAGTGCACGAACTTTTTGTACACACCTCGTATGTTTACGTGATGCCGATTCTTGTATCGATGCATTGAGAATCGATTCTTTTTACTCTTGAAGAATCTATTCTCAAGCGATTCTTTAATTTCTCGATTCTTTCGGAATCGATTCAATTTTTCCAAATCATTATTTCGAAGGAAAGGCGCATGATACGGAGCGATTGGATGCTGCCAATCACTGTGCCATGGACATAAGAAATGGACGTATCATAATCAATTATTCTCCTCGAATTCGATACTGTAATTAGTTAATTTCTTACGGCTTAAGGCTTGAAACATCTATTGTAGATCTGGGTTAGACTTTCTAAGTTCTCTAAAAATATATGTAAGTCAATGTAAAGCGGGGAGCACAGACTTTTGCATAACGCATAAAGCATGTGCATAAGGAATTTCATTGGCCCATTTTCTTATGCATGAGTCAATGGACCAATCAAATTCTTTATGTATATGGTTTATGCGTTATGCAAAAGTCTGTGCTCCCCGCTTAATACGTAAATAATTCTTGCGCAAGAAAAGTTCATATTAAAAATATACATATACGACTAAAGAGTACAATATAAAATTAAGAATCCTTGTATATAATTTTGTTAATCATTTCATTTTAATCTCATTTATAAGTTTTTTTTATTAAAAAAAGAATTAAAAATTCAAATGTAAAAAAATAGATTGATTCCCTCTCCCTTTTCCTCTCTTCTTTCCCCCCCCCTCTCTCTCTCGTTCTTCTCACTCTCCCCCTCCCCCTTCTATCTCTTTCTTTCTCTAAGAAATTACCTGGTTGCTAAGAAAAAGAAGCAAAAAAATCGATTCTTCGGAATCGATCCTTTTTTTCCAATTCATACACGATTAAGAATTAAACCTAAAAGAATTGATCGATTCTGAAATTCAATACTTCTTTTTAAGAATCGGCATCATTAGATTTTACATAGCCCTTTTTCCTTCTTTGTTATCTGAAGTATTGCAAGTGATTTTCTGAACACCCTGTATGCAACCTATATGTATAGAAAGTTTTTAAATCACGCACTTTGCAAAGTTCCCTTATTAGCGCAGTTGCAGAAAAAAGTACAAGTTGAGTCTTTTCTCAAAAAAGTGTCCGAATCCATATTTTTTTTTTTTATAATAAATTATTTTCTAAACAACACAAAGTCTAAAATTGTGATATAAGACGTCTTTGAGTCGTTTTTTAGAAGCAAAAAACGTCTTATGACCCGATTTTATTTAGACACTTTTTGTTATCTGAGTTGTTACACATAATTTCAGACAAATTCAATGTTCAGCTTGTTTCAATTTTTCATTTATTCGCAATGCATCTTCGAATAAATCCTCGAGAACGATTTGAAAAAAAAAAAAAACAAATTCAATGCAAGAGAAAGAATCAGATGACGAAAATGACACAATGCAATAAGGAAAGAATTCAGGATGAAATAAGAAAGTCCGGAATCGATAATGCGCGAACAAAGTAATTCTGATTTGTTGTTCTTATTGTTTATATAATTTGTTAAGCCCAAGACACAATGCAAGGAAATAGCAATAGCGATAAGTTTCAACTTATCAGAAATCAAATACACCGGAATACACATTTTTGATAGGTTGAAACTTATCGCTATCGCTATTCCCCCGCAATTGTATCTTGGGCTTTATTCTTAACTGGAGACAGTCCATTAAAGGGACCAAGATTTTCACACATGGACGCTATTTGTAAAACGTGTTATGGTATGTGAAAGCACATATGAGATAAACAAAAACTAAATAATTAAACATACTCATTGACTGAGTTACAATTATGTTCGTTTCTCCAGTCCGCTGTTGTTTCTGTCGCAGCTTGTCAACAACGTTCACACGATAGTAATTTATCTCCTCGTTAATAGCGTTTATATGATAATAACTGACCTCCGGTGGCAAAATTGATGGAACAGCACCTTTTTTCAACTTCGGTATTTTACGTGGCATAAAGGAAGTTGTACCGTCTCTCAAATAAAAAGTATCTTCTCGGATAATATCGTCCTTTGGGAAATGCAACTCACAGACGCGACTTTTTTTGCTAAATTTAGTGACGCCTTTTGTAGCAAGTCCACTGTCACACCAGTTATTGAACATTTCATCTGAGAAAGGTGTAAAAAGGCTTCTTTTCTCTGATCCATCTTTAGTGGGACAACCACGTATCCAGCACGACATTTTACGATGTTCGGATAAACACACTTGACTAATTTCAGATACGAGACCAGGCTGGTCAGGTAAGGTTAGATACCATGGCCCGTGTTCAGAACGCGCTAACATGCTATAGTTTTTTACGTTATGTATACTATAGAATTTCAAAAATAAAAGAGCGCTTTTATTTTTGATAAAAGTGTGTTCTGAATACGGACCAAAAACCCAACTGTAAAGCCCGATCTACAATTGCGTAAACGTAGTTCTAGTTGTAAGAATTGATCAATTACGGATAAATACGAGGAGAATATCCAACTATGATTGGATAATTCTTACAACGGTAATTATACGGAATACCCCCCACTACCTCCAATTTCGATAAAATTAGGCTTATTTTTGCATATTTTTGCATGAAACGAAAGAAGCAGAAAAAAGTGTCGCTCTGCCTTACGAATCGAGATATTAAGCGTTAAAGTTGACGATTATTCAGGTTAGGAAATCTGTCATACCGACTATACATGTCGGCTACGCCGAGCGAAGAAAAAATAACATATTCTACCCGCTTGGGGCCTAACCGCCTAGAAGTTACAGCGTAGACAGTGTCCCTTGCAATATTTCTAACCCATTTTTAAATTTCGTTCCTGTTGGACTGAAAAGTAACGAGACGCATGCGCATAAGATCGAAATGAATGTAGAAGATATGGCCATTGTAGGACTGTGACAGATTTCCTAACCTAAACAGTCGTCAACTTTAACGCTTAATATCTCGGTTCGCGGGACAGAGCGACACTTTTCTCTGCCAGATTCTTTTGTTTCATACAAAAACGCGTCAAATAAGCCTAATTTTTAGCAATAGAAAGAAAAGTGGCAAACAAAAGTTGCTTCATTTTGAGGGACACATAAAGTGATGTCAATGACTTTTTTATAGATGGAGGCGTAGAAGGTAAATAAAAGTTAAATGTTTTTTTATTTACATTCCGATAAAACGTTTTGATAGGAATACAGTGACCTATATAATTGAAGATTATTTACGGTTATACAAAGTTAGCTGTAAAGAAAAATAAATTGTCTTAAGGCATTTTTCGAATATTTTATTAATTTTATTTATTTGCATACTTACCATTACAACAAGTGTTCAAAATGATGACCCTGAACATCGATGCATTTTCTAATGCGTGTTAATACGGATAACACTGCACAATGGATTTCATCCGGATTTATCGCAACGCAAGCTCTTCTTATACGTTCCTTCATATCTTCTCTACTTGTCGGTATTTTGCTGTACACTTGTTGCTTTAATTTTTCCCATAAATAAAAATCCATAGGTGTTAAATCTGGGGAATGTGCAGGCCACCTGTTATTTCCTGACTGACCAATCCAACGATCTCTAAATTTGCTGTTTAGCAATTCAGTAATAATCTGTGCAGAATGAGTAGGACATTCATTTTGTTGGTACCACATTGATCGTCGTATGCTCAGTGGAAGATCTTCTAATAATAGTGGCAATATTTCTGTCAAAATCTGTGCATACTCGTGACTATTTAATGTCTCATCAATGAAGTGAGGACCAATTATTTTATTATTAAGTATTCCGACCCAGACATTTACGGACCAAGGTTCTTGATCGTCCACTTCTTTCAGCCAGGGTGGCTCCTCTATTGGCCAATAGTCCATGTTGCAAAGATTTACTTGTCCATTGTTTGTAAATGCAGCTTCGTCAGTAAATAAAATTTTAGTAAAAAGCATATCATCCTCTTGTAGTCTTTGTAGGGCCCATTCACAGAATTGTACACGATTTTGAAAATCGTTGTCATGTAACTTTTGACGAAGTGAGGTACGGAAGGGTTGAAATTTGTTGGACTGGAGTATTCGCAAAACACTTCGTCGACTAATACCACTTTCACGTGCAAGTTGCCTTGAACTAATATGTGGATTTAATGCTACAGCGGCTAAAATGTTTATTGAATTTTCGTCGTTAGTTACTTTCTTGATTCGTTTGCGTATTTTATTATCCAAACTTCCTGTTTTTTGAAAAGTATTTACTATGTTTGAAAAAACAGAGCACGAGGGATGGACACGATCAGGGAATCTTTCAGTATACAAACGTACTGCTTTTCTCATAATTTGACAACATTCACCATAGATGAAAATCATATCGACTTTTTCCGCTTTTGTATAACGCATTTTGCAGGGTACGCACTTTGTTCGCAAGAGGTAAATTCAAATGATCAGTAAGTACGGATAATGTATGTGCGATTCAGACCACTGTCACCAAGCTTCGATTAATTAATCGGCCTAGTAATTTTGCAGGCTTCCAACTGAAACTGATGTCGGAGAATTAATGTGAGCTCAGCTCTGACATCAGTTTCAGTTGGAAGCCTGCAAAACTAGGCCGATTAGTTAATCGAAGCTTGGTGACAGTGGCCCTCAATGGTCTGTTTTTTTTTTGTTCTTGCATTGTCTGAACTACTGTACTACACGGTGCAATAAATTAAAGCAGAGAGAAACCTGAGAGTGAACATGGTCTTTTTCGTGTATCTCATAGGGTAATGTCCTCGTTTTCGTGGTTCTCTTCCATACTATTACATGAGTTAAGGTACCATTTCATACTGACGCTTGACGCTCATTTTTAGCGTCAAAATAGATCATTTGATTAAAATT